CATCTTGTTTTCAAGATGTTTTTCCACGATGTACTTTTTACTGCTCCCAGCCCTTTGCCTGGGGGTGTTGAGAAAGTCATTCTTATTTTTCAAAGAAGCCCTGTTAATTATAGTACAGGCCTGTGCATAGCATATTCCCTACAGTACTCCGCAGCAAGAGAGGCTGCCACAATGAGAAAACCATGCACCACGAGTAGAGAGTAGCCTTCCACGCACCAAAACTAGAGAAAAACTCACACAGCAAGGAAGACCCAACACAGCCAAAAATAAATAAAAGTTAAAAAAGAAAAGAAGTTGCTTATCTGAAATTTATCTGGGTGTCCTGTATGTTTTTCTGGCACCTCTAAGCCAGGACAAGTTGAAGTTAGAAAAATATAATTCTCATTTTCTGGACGGGAATGGGGAGCTTTAAACCCAGGTCTGCCTGATGGCAGGCGCTGAAGGGGTTAAGTGTGGCTGCTGAGACAGCTGAGCCCCTCCAACTGTGCTGCGTTCGAAGGGGGATTTCTTTTTCTTTTCTTGGACTGGATTTGCATTTAGACTGAGGCTGGGTGGGAGCAGGTGCTAGAAAAAGCCTCTGGGAAGGATGGAAGCAGAAGGACCTTCCCTTCTGCTGCCCATTCCTTCCCCCGTTGCCAGGGTGGCAGGGGAAATGTCAGGCACTTCTCTGTCCCCTGGGGGGACAGCTGGGCCCCCGTTGCAGTTGTCAGTGCTGGAGTGTGGACGTGTCAGGGCCGGCCGGGTCCTGCAAGGATCCTGTTGTTCTGAGGCTATCCCTGCCCTGAGACGAGTGGCCGTGAGGTCCACGGGGACTGATGGCTGCCTTGGCTTTTTTCTTTTTTACTGACCTGGGTCTTCGTTGCACATGACTTTGCTCTAGTTGCGCTGAGCAGGGGCTCACCTCTAGTTGCAGCATGCAGGCTTCTTATTGCAGTGGCTTCTCTTATTGTGGAGCACGGGGTCTAGGATGCAGGCCTCAGTCCTTGTGGTGCACGAGGCTTAGCTGCCTTGCAGGACATGGGATCTTCCCGGACCAGGGATGGAACCCATGTCCCCCTGCACTGGAGGCAGATTCTTAACCCCTGGACCACCAGAGAAGTCTTGCTTTCCTTTGCACTGATGCCGGCCTTGTCTCCCGACTGCAGGCCCGGTTCCCCCAGCTCATCAGCAGAGTCAGAGGGAGAGGCACCTTCTGCTCCTTCGACACTCCAGACGAATCTGTGCGGAATAAACTCATTTCAATAGCCAGAAACAAAGGTAAGATAGCCAGGCGGGGGGAAGTGACCACAGTTCCTGGTCGGGGGCCCAGTGGGGGCACAGAAGGTGAACCTTCACAGGACTAAAAATAGTCTGAATCTCCTTTCTCAAAAGAAGAGAAAGTTATCAGGGAGCTTTCTTTGTATGTTGATTCATGTGGCGATATTCCCTGAGGTAAGTAGTGCCTATGCTGGAAAGGATCAGGAAACCTTCCTTCAAGGAGCTTTCAGTCTAGCAGGAAGGGGTGACATCAAAGAGAATATTTCAGAAACAGTCTATTACAGTTTTAAGTCCTAGGATGGAAGAAAAGGAGCTAGAGAGAAAATAGCTGGGGAAAAATGTCCAGAAAGTCAGGGAAGGCTTCCTGGAGGAAGTGGCATTTTGCTGGATGAATTGCAGTTGGCCAGGTGAAGAAGGTGAGGAGGAGCGTTTTGGGCAGAGGGAGGGAGGTGTTCCTTTAGCTGGGTGAGATGGGGCTTAGAGTGTGACAAGCGACAGAGGCAGCGGCGGGTGAATCAGGTTCAGGTGGATGATGTTCAAGGTTCCGGACTTTCTCCTGAGAGCTATGGGAGCCCTGAAAGTTTTCAGTGGGGGAGATCAGAGTGCCTGCTAGGTGACTAAGCTGATATCTTTCATGTGGACCATCTTAGAGGATCCCAGCAGCAACCCTGAAGGGTAGGGTAATTCATCTCTTGAGAATGAAAAAAACAAGTCTCAGAGACACTGTGCAACCTAGGCAAGGACCCCCATCTAGTCAAAGGTGAAGTCACCCTTTAAAATAAGTACATTATGGGGATTCCCTGATGGTCCAGTGGTTAAGACTCTGTGCTTCCCCTGCAGGGGGCACAGGTTCTGTCCCTGGTCCAGGACACTAAGATTCCCGCAGGCCATAAATAAATAGATTTTTAAAATAAAATAAGCAGATTCCAGGAACTCCCTGGTGGTCCACTGGTTAAAACTCAGCACTTTCACTGCTGGGACCACAGATTCCATCCCTGGTTGGGGAACTAAGATCCCATATGCTAAAAAAAGATAATAATACGCAGATGCCGTCTCTTGGCCATGCTGACCTGCCCACACTTTTGTAATTTACTTCTTTTTCCATAATTGCATTTATTCAGTTACTTCTGGCCGCACTCAGGCTTTCTCTAGGTGCGGGGAGCAGGGGCTGCTCTCTAGCCGCGTGGTTCAGGGGCTTCTCGCTGTGCTGGCCTCTCCCGTGGCGGAGCACGGGCTCTGGAGCACGCGTGGCACACGGGCTTATTGCTCCGTGGCATGTGGGCTCTTCCTGGACAAGGGATTGAACCTGTGTCCCCTGCACTGCAGGCCGATTCTTAACCACTGGACCACCAGGGAAGCGCTGTCATTTAGCTCTTCAGTTATTTTCTCTGCCTGCCGCACCCAGTTCCCGGAAGGCAGGGACTTGGTCTCAGGGTTTCTCCATCAGCAGGGCGAGTTTGGGGCAACAGAGCTGGCATTCACAGTTGGGAGGGAGGGTGGGCAAGCCGGGGGATGGGAGAGAACAGGAAGGAAGGCTGGATGGGTGGCTGGGGGAAGGATGAAACAGTCCAGATGGATGGTAGCACCCCTGTGTGACTGCCCCCTGGGGGACCCCCAGCAGGTGACTCTGAGCCTGAGCCCCTAACCCCCCTCCACCCCATGCCTCTCCTTCCAGGCCTGATGCTGGGGGGCTGTGGCGACAAGTCCGTCCGCTTCCGCCCCACTCTGGTCTTCCGAGATCACCACGCCCACCTGTTCCTCAACATCTTTAGTGACATCCTGGCCGACTTCAAGTAAAGAAGCCCTCTCCTCCGAGCTCTGAGGACGGCCCGACCTCAACCGTTGTCCAATTGATTAGTTCGCCTAATTCATGTTTTCACTCAAAGTTTCAGAGGTGAAGGCATAAACTGGAGGGTTACTCGTGAAGAGGAGGGGATGTCTCTGGCGGCCTGGGGGCAGGGACGGGCTGGTTAGGGTCTCCGTCTCCGCGGAGCCGGTGGCGCACATTGATTTTCAGCTCAGAGATTCTGCTTGAGCCCTGGACTTAGTCTTAGGATGGTCCCCAGGGGTCCTGGCCATGTAACTGCCCCCCGGGTACCCCCACAATACCTTTGGAAGCCAGTCAAGGGAATGACACCTGCTGCTGGGGCTGGCGGCCGGGACTCCTGGGTTCTGTTCCACTCGAGTGACACATTCAGAGAGGGGAGGATGCTGGTTCCCCCTCCCCTGTCCTATGCAAACAGACTCACGTCCCCCTCACCCCCATTCCCGGCCCTGGAGCTCTGAGCATGTCCCATGGCAGTGCAGTGATGGGCAGGACAGAGCATGGGAAGGCCGGATGGCAGGGACATGGGACTGAGCTCCAGGCTGTGGGAAGGGGGTCTTCTGGCCACTCCCCCGATGCATCTGGGGATGCCTCTCCAAACTGTGAATTCTCTCCTTGATGGGGCTTCGTCCTGGGAGAATCTCTGGGCGGCATCACCAACAGGTCTTAGTCACCACCCTCATTCCCCAAGTCCCCTCCGTCCTGTTAGACATCAGCCTGGACCTCCCTCCTAGGAAGGAAAGCTGTGGCCCATCACCCTGGGACACACTCCTGGGAGTGTCAGCCCAGGCCGGGGGCAGCAGAGACCCCCCTCTTCCCGTCCCCCTGGCATCTGGGGTCTGACTTTGGACCCCTGGTCCGGGGGGGAACCTTTCTCTAGCTTTTGCTCATCCACCTCTGCTCCACATGTGAGCAGCCCCCCAGGAACGGCTTTGCTGCTCCGTCAGAGGGAATTGGTTATAGGACCAGGTTTCTTCTTGCGGGAGGCGTCACACATTATAAGTGCAGAGCTCCAGGCAGGAAAACACAGCCTGTCAGGGCGCATTTCGTGTGTCGTCATTGCTCCGAGTCAGAGGTTTTCCCGCCTTATGTGAGTGTGAGGGGACCAGGCAGGTGATGTTTAGAGGCTTCACTGGATGATGGCTGAGGTTCAAGGGGGTCTCTCCTGGAGGTGAGGCAATTTTGCAACTAATTTGACTTCAGATGCTCCTAAAACAGAGCAGCAGGTCATCCTAGAACAATGAGGTGTGGTTTAGCAGGTAGATGAAGGAAGTCCGTCCAAAAGGAAGCCACTTGGGTCTCCCCCTGTTTCGGCTGACAGTTTTGGGGAGCCAGGCAGATCAAGAATCTCAATTCAGCACTTTTCTCTTTTAGTAACTAATCATCCAAAGATCTCAAAGTGCTTTGGTTTTTTCCTCCCACTTCCACTGTTGAGCAGATTTGGTCATCAACCTATCTTTGCCGAGAGTGAAAGGCAAACTCACATGCTTAACAAGAACACGGACAGATCCATAAATACTGGTTCACCCCACATCCTGCACTCTGTGCTAATCTTGCTTTTAAGGAGCTCTGCTGTGTCCCAGGGCATGCGCACTGACAGCTAAATGGAGTTCCCTCTCTCCACAACTTTTACTCACTAGTAGATTCATTTGTTTATCCAGTTATTCATTCATGAAACTTGCATTAAATACCTGCTCTGTCCCAGGCCAAGTGCTAAGCACTAGAAATCCAAAGGTGAAATAAAACCTAGTCCCTGCTCTCAAGGGACTCACCCTCCCATTGGGAACAACAGACTCTTAAACCAACAATCAATGCAGTATGTATGGGAACATCAGGAAATCAGAGGGAGTGACCTGATCCACCTAAGGGTCAGAGGAGGGTCCAAGGAGAAAGTGACATTTGAGCAGGGTTTTGCAGGATGCGTAAGAGTTCACCTAGCAGACAAGGCAAGGAAGTGTTGCAGAAAGGGAACAGCATATGCAAAGACACATCCGTTCACAGCCTCACACCTCTCACAGGGGATCCAGATTCCACAGGCAATATCCCAAGATTCAAGGCCTTATTTAGCAAACAAGCAAAATGCAAATCAAACCATACTTCACATATGCTTTCTCTTGAGAACCTTAGCATCGGATCCAAACATACAGTGAGGTTCCTGGAGTCCAAAAGGTTTTTAAGCCAGTGCACAACCAGAAACATGGCTCTCTTTGGTGGGGAGAGTGGCTCCAGTATTTTGTTCTCTCCCCATAGGGCATGGACAGATAAATGAAATCTTTTTTTTTTTTTTAATCTGGAGGGTCATGACCAGACTTATTCACTCCTTACCAAGGGAAGGTACTTCTTGGAAAACTTTTTAAGCCATTTATCAGCCAGTTCTCGTTGACTCAGGGCTGAGTGAGTTCCTGAGACATCCTCTTTTGGGGGTGGGGGGTCTAGCTGGAAGAATTTCAAAATAAAGATTCTCAGCAGTGTTCAAGAAACTTGTCAGAGGTTAGTGGAACACAGGGAGAGCAGAAGACAGGTGCAGAAGCGTTTTTGTGACCTATGGTCCGGAAATAAATCCATCCCACATTAGTGCAGAAGAGTCTGTGCAGAAGAGTTTTTGTGACCTATGGTCTGGAAATGAATCCATCCCACATTAGTGCCATGGAGTTTAGTACGTGTCGCTAGGAAATCTCATCCCTTTTGCAGAAAAACGAGGTCCAGTAATAGCAAATCTTAGCACATCCTCACTTTTATTATAAATGGGTGTTTTTTTTATAATTTTTACTGACACTCAGTAACCATGCAAAGTTGTGCACAACATTCATCTGTCTATATATATGTACGTGTCTGTATCTATCTATATATCAGCTCATGGTAGAAAACGATAGCTAGGGAACCTCGCCAACTTACCTGCATACAAAGTGATCTTGTTTACAGTATTCTGTTGACAGTGCCAATAAATGATTAAGAAATTAACATGTCACAATGTAATGGATGACCCTATGCCCAACTCCATGAATTCAACCTGTTTCCTGTGTTAATCAGTATTCTTAAATTAAAAACAAAATGTTTATAATGGAAACACCTGCGTTTAAGTGGCCTTTTTGGTTAGAACTGGTTTTGGTAAGGACTCATTTGACAGGTTCTTATTAAGCACGTATGATATACCTCTTCGGGATGTCGTGGGGGAACTCTGTGCCCGCGTTAAATCTGCCTTGGGCTCAGGAAGCCTGCTGAGGCCACTCAGTTCATCAGAGTTCACCCAAGGTATACCACGTGTTGGGGGTGGACAAGGCGTGGTCCTCAGCTCACCTGCTGTGGGCCTGTGTAAGGACCAGGACACAGGACGATGCTGTTCATGAACCAAGCATAGACCCAAGGCAGGGTGGAAGTTAGGCCCTGAATTCAACTTCACGATTGAGTGAGAACTGCTCCAATGACTCAGAGGAGGGGTAGAAGGCATTCCAGACCAAGAGAACAGCTAGCTGAAGGCTGGGTGAGGCAGGCAGGTCTGTGGCGTTCAGCATGACTATATCACAAAGACGGGGAGATGGGAAGAGCCTGGAGACCAGGCCAAAGAAAAAGGCAGGGCACGGATCCAGAGGGCCTTCTGGGCCAGGCTGGGCCTTCCACACAGTGATGGAGCCACCGAAGGTCTGGGGTGAGGGGGTAATCAACATGCATTCTAGAAAGAATGCCCTGAGTGTCCCCTGTGAACAAGAGAGCCTGGACGACCAGGTGGGAATCTGGCCATCGAGATGACCAGGTGGCTGGGTCAGGACAGCAGTTACGGGTTGGATGGGGAGAGGTCGAGCACAGAACCCACAGAGTCCAGGACACTGACAGTCCACACTAGATACCTTGTGCTGCTTCGCTTTTTAATATTTTTTAATTTACTTGGCTGTACCAGGTCCCAGTTGCAGCACGTGAGATCTTTTCTTTTTTTTCAGTTGTGCTGTGTGGGATCTAGTTCCCTGACCAGGATCAAACCCAGGCCCCCTGCCTTGGGAGCGTGGAGTCTTAGCCACTGGGAAATCCCAACACTGGATGCACTTTGGAGTCGCCCTAAAGAGCTTTATAAAACCCCTAATGCTTGTGCCCCACCCCAAACCAATTCAACTGCCTTCTTTCTGCCACCGCTTGAGGTGGTAAGTGAAGGACCAATTGGAATCAGCCCACAGGCAGGTGCAGCGTGGGAAAGCAGGGAAGAGATGCTGAGTCAGCACCTGTGAAACTAAAACAGTCTGCCTCTTCGGTCCTCCTGGTGTCCTGACCTGGAACCAGGCAGGGATCATGGGTTCCTAACTCGTTTCTGCACCCAGCTATCTCCATACCCCTACACAGCCCTTATTTTTCTCACGTGGAAAATGTATGGTTTGGATCACAGGACTTCCAGTGTTCCTTCTGGCTGGGACACCCAACACGTCTATGAAATAATTGGACTTGGAAAGTAATATTTACCATTAAATGTGCTTTTAAGAATAATCACAGGTAATGATAATATTTATCATTTGTTTGAACATCTGCTACATGTAAGCATATTCTGCTGAAAGTGAAAGTGTGAGTCACTCAGTCATTTCCGACTCTTTGTGACCCCATGGACTATAGACCTCCAGGCTCCTCTGTCCATGGGATTCTCCAGGCAAGAATACTGGAGTGGGTTGCCATGCCCTTCTCCAGGGGATCTTCCCTACCCAGAGACGGAACCTGGGTCTCCTGCATGGCAGGCAGATTCTGAAGTACCATCTGAGCTACCAGGGAAGCCCATATTCTGCTGGGGCTTTGTAATTGTCACAACACGCCTATGCATGTGGTAGCCTGTTTGTAAAATGAGAAGCCTGATGCTCAGAGAGGTTGGAGACCCTGCCCAGCATCATACAGTCTGGAAGCAGGGATTTGAGACACGGGGGGGTGTGAGTGCGCACACTCCGTCAACATGGGGTTGCTTGAGGAGTGACCACTCAGGACACTTCTCTCTGCCACTGTGGCCACTGGCCTGAGAAAGTGGACTTGAACTGGTCAGCATTAGTGTAAGCTCCTGAACGTATATCCCTCAGGCAGGTAGGCAGAAGGTGCCAGGACGTCTGTTACAAAGTTACTGCTTCCATTCTTCTGTCCTTCTTCCCACATGCCCCCAGAGGCAGGCAGGACAAGGCAGGAGAATGACTAATCAGCTGCTTTCTAGCTGGGTGACCTTGAACAAGTCCCTTCACTCCTCTGAGCTTCACCCGCAGAGAGAGACTGATCATGGTAATGCAGCTAACACTTACTAAGGGCTTTCCTGGACTGAGCACTATTGTAAGTGCTTTGCGTGTAGGAAGTCAGTCCCTTCAACCACCTTCGGGGGTGCTTTTAGTGTCATCAATTCACAAAAGAAGAAACCAAGGCACAGAGAGCGATTATTGACTGGCCCAAACTCACAGCCTGGGAGTGACAGGGCTGGGGTTCCGACCAGCTCGGAGTCTTGCTTCCAAACATGGTGCTTTCCATATTCATGCAGCTGCTGGCTCTCCTATTCCAGCCCTTGCTGGGGGGATTCAGGAAAAGCATATAATCATCGCCTGACACGTAATAGGTGCTGAATACATGCTGGTTCCTTCGGCCACTTGATCTCCAAGCATGGAGTTCACACATAGCTCTAAATATAAAATCTACATCCCAACAAGGAGATAAGTCCCACCAGATCCCAGGGTAGATTACAACAGTTAACCGGGAAAATGGATGCTTGTCTCTAGGGTTGGTACAGACATGGCCAGATGGTATTGGCCCTGCCTGATTAACCCTCAGCAAGCAAGAATTTACAGTTGAATGAATGCTACACGATCAAAACAAGGCCATAAAAGTTGGGATTCTGCCCAGGTTTCAAAAGGACACTGAGGCTTTCCATTTAGGACTGAATTTAGTCCTGAATTCTTAAAGCAGCCAAGGGCAAGCTCCTAGTTATTTGAGTAACTTGCCCCAGGCTGACCCGCTGCAAGCAGCTGGCCCATCAGATCTGTTTTGGGGATTGCATTAAATGTGCCTGTTTATGATGGGCTGGGGGTGGACTACCTGGGCCTGTAACAAGGTAAGGCTGTTTCAGTAACCAGGAGAGGAAGGACAGGGCTTCCCAGGTGGAGCTAGTGGTAAAGAACCCGCCTGCCAATGCAGGAGATGTAAGAAACTTGGGTTTGATCCCTGGGCGGGGAAGATCCCCTGGAGGAGGGCATAGCAACACACTCCAGCATTCTTGCCTGGAGAATCTTCATGAACAGAGGAGCCTGGTGAGCTACGGCCCATAGGGTCACAAAGAGTCGGACGCAACTGAAGCGCCTTAGCACACACGCATGCATAGTAAGGACAATAGTTCCCAGCTATGCACACTGTGAATGCCCCTGGCTGCAGCTGACCTCACCAGTCTGGAGGACCCCCTGTCTTAGGCTGCTCAAACAGGATACCATAGGCAGGGACATCCCTGGTGGTCCAGTGGTTAAGACTCTGGCTTCCAATGCAGAGGCATGGGTCCCATCCCTGGTTGGGGAACTAAGATCCTAAGACCTCACATGCCACACAGCACAGCCAAAAAATATAAAGTAACATTAAGAATATCAACTTTAAAAAATAAATACTAACAAAAATAAATTTAAAAAAAAGAATACCTAGATAGGGCAGCATAAACAGCCAACATTTATTTCTCACAAATCTGGAGGCTGGAAGTTCATGGTTGGGTCCTTGGTGAGGGTCTCTTCCTACCTGTCCTCACAGGGCACTGATTCCACCATGAGGGCCCCACCCTCATGACCTCATCTAACAAGAATCACCTCCTAGAGGCCCCACCTCCAAACGCCATCACACGGCGCAGGGGCTATGGTTTCAATATATGAATTTTTAGGAGGGGACACAAACATTCAGTCCATAGCAACTACCATGTGAAAACAGACATGCTACAGGTCACCCCATTTCCTGTTGGTTTTGTTATTTTTAATCTGGGGCACCGGGACAGCTCCTAGGTACTGCCCTGCTGGTGCACTGCAGAGGGCCTAATCCATCTCTGTTGCCACAGGGTGATCCGGGATGGTGGGGAGCTGGGGTGGGGGCAGTTGGGAATGAAGGGGTGGAATGATGCATTTGCTCTGTGCGCCCTCTGCTGGTACTGTGTGAGCAAACCACACATCCTGGAAGTGGACTGAAGTGAAAGCTCAGTCGTGTCCAAATCTTTGCAATTATGCAGTCCATGGAATTCTCCAGGCCAGGATACTGGAGTGGGTAGCCTTTCCCTTCTCCAGGGATTGGACCAACCCAGGGATCGAACCCAGGTCTCCCGCATTGCAGGTGGATTCTTTACCAGCTGAGCTACAAGGAAAGCCCAAGAATACTAGAGTGGGTAGAGGTGGCTCTTCCTGCCAAAACTGGTGAGAATCTGGGCACTCATCTCCCATTGCGCTGACACTTCTGGGCTGTGACTGTCAACTTAGATGAGGATGGGAATCACCATCACCTAAGGAAGCTGGGCATGGGCCTGGGCGTGCGGGCCTGCTCAGTCATGTCCAGTTCTTTGCAACCCCATGAACTGTAACCCACCAGGCTCCTCTGTCCGCAGGATTTTCCAGGCAAGAATACTCGGCAATGGTGTTTTTTTTTAAAGGTCTCCAGGTGACTCTACACATGGAGCCTGGGCTGAGAACCTATTCTTTAGTGGGGGGAAAAAATGGCCAAGGGAAACAAAATCCACAGAGGCATTTTAGTCTGGTGCTTCCCATCCTGGCCATCTATTTCAGAAATTCCCAGCCTGGCTGCATTGCAGAATTAGCCTCAAGCTTGACAAAAAGACTCCGGGGACCCAACCCTGGATATAATCAGAAACTCCAGGGCTGAAGCTTGCTCAGGGAAGTGCTTACAAGTATCCCAAGAGGCGTATTTGAGTTCATTTTGGGTTTTAATAAGTCAAGGTCAAACCATTAATCCTTAAGACATTTTATAGGAACAGACTATCAAATTGCACAGCCTTGAGAAAAGAGGCTCACAGGTATTGAAGGCACTTGAGCAGGTGAGGGAAAGGTAGAGACAGGCACCGACTGTTCTAGATAACTATATACTCAAGTCTTCTGTATAACTGAATCCTCACTATAAACTTTTTTTAAAGCTTTTTTTGATGTGGACCATTTTTTTGTCTTTATTAAATTTGTTCCAATATTGCTTCTGTTTTTTGTTTGTTTTGGCTTTTTGGCTGCAAGACTTGTGGGATCTTAGTTCCCCAACCAGGAATCAAACCCATGCCCTTGCATTGGAAGGCAAAGTCTTAACCACTGGACTACCAGGGAAGTCTCCAGACGATAACTTCTAGAGGGTAAATGCAGAGCAAGAAACTGGAAAAGGAGAGACTTTTATGTAGATATCTGGGGAGAAAGGCTTCCAGGCAGAGGAACTGTGTCAGTACAAAGGCCCTGAGGCTGGAGGGTGCTTGACTATTGGAGAAGGAACAAGGGAAAAACAGCCAAGTGAAGTGATCAGTGTAGAACTGTGGATGAGGCAAGGTAGCTGGGGGAAGGGGCCAGGCCATGCTCCAGGCGGGACCTATAGACCCCAGTAAGGATTTCAGCTTCTATAGAAGTGATGCAATCCTCTTTTTTCAAAGGATCACTTTGGCTGCTGTGAGAACAGGCTCTAACAGGGTAAGGATGGAAGCAGCAGGATGCAATAATCCAGAGGCTACAAGGGCAGCTTGGATCAGGGTGGTGGGGCTGGCAGAGGTGAGAGCAGTCAGGTTCTGGCTGCACCTTTAAAGTAGGTGTAAAACCGTCTGTCAATGGAACCACATGCCATTTACCCTGAAGAGCCGGCACTTCTGAGTGGGTCTGAAGCCCTCCGGGACCCTTCAGTCCCACCACCAGGCTCTGGGTCACGCCTTCCACTGCACAGCCCCTCTACCTAGGGAACCCACAGACACACTGTGGCTGACAATGGGGGTGAGGGGAGGGCTGGACAGCGTCCCCAAACATCTGAGACACACAATCACAGCCACACCCCCCGCAGACCATGGCCTCCGACTGGCAAAAATTAACACAGAGGAAGAAACTGGAAAAGGAGAGACTTCTATGTAGATACCTAGGGAGAAAATTAACAGAGGAAACAACAAATCCATGACAAGCCTAGTCCTATCACTTGCATCATTAACTAAAGATAAGTACAAATTAAAGCCGCTTCCTCTTGTCCTTAAGTGTTCCCAAACTTTCACAGTTCTCCCCTTTTTCTCTGACCATCAAAGCTTCCCCACAGTGATGTGGATCCAAATCAGGGTCCTCCCTGAGCAAGGGTACCCAACCTGCTCCTGTCCAGGGCAGAAGGCCCTTGCTGCTCCCGCGGCCTGCTTCCTCACAACTGGGGCGCCCTTCAAGGTCCAGGCCCCAGGCCATCTGCACCTCACCCCCCCACTCATCCCCTGCTGCTGTTCTGCTTTGGACCACCCCACTCTTCTCTTGCCTTGCACATTTCCCCGTCTCTAACACACAACACACTTAGCATCTGTCCTCCCTCCCCACCGACACTGTCGGCCCCACAAAGGCCCCAAATCCCCTCCTGAACTACATATGATGCCTTATACCCAGCTGACTTGGAAGCCTGCAGTAACAAACTGTGGTTTTTTTTATTATCATTATTTTTTTTTTCTGGCCATGCTGTCTTCATTGCTGTACAGGCTTTTCTCTAGTTGCAGAGAGTGGGGGTTGCTCTCCAGCTGCGCTTCTCACTGCGGTGGTTTCCCTTATTGCAGAGCAGGTGCAGCAGGACACGCGGGCTTTGGTAGTTGTGGTTCCCAGACTCCAGAGCACAAGCTCAGCAGCTGTGGCGCATGGGCCCAGAGGCTACGCAGCACATGCAATCTTCCTGGACCAGGAATCAAATCGAGCCTGAATCTTCTGCCCTGGCAGGCGGACTCCACCCCTGGGGCACCAGAGAAGCCCCAAACCATCTTGAATTACATGCTTTACTTGCTTCTGTGAAATGCAGTAGATTAAGAAGATCTAACTTGGTGCAATGGTAAAAGAATCTACCTGCTAACGCAGATGACCCAGGTTCGATCCCTGGGTCAGGAAGATCCCCTGGAGGAGGAAATGGCAACCTGCTCCAGTATTCTTGCCTGGAAAATCCCATGGACAGAGGAGCCTAGTGGGTTACAGCCCGTGGGGTCACAAACAGTGGGACTTGACTGAGCACACACATGAAAAAAAAAAACCATGTTTCATGTTATCGTGATTATAAAGTCATCTTTCTCAAAATGCCATTTTTCAGTCTACACAGAGGAAGGAAACCTCTCCAAATATTTGATCTTTATCACATTCTTTACAGCAATGAAAAATGGAAATCATTTAAAGGATCAGCTACATTCACTCAGTGGAATATTTTGCAATTACTAGTTTTCTTTTTTTTTTTTGCATAAAAAGTATTTAAAAGAATCAAATAATCTGGGACTTTTGTTTTTATGTATTTGTAAGGTATACTCCCCATTTTTTTCTAATTTTGAGATCTAATTGGCATATATCATTGTATTAGTTTAACATATACAATTATTTATATATATATATATAGTACAATTACAGTAAGTTAACATCCAGCACCTCACAGTTAACAAGGTTTTTCCCTTGCGGCTATTTTAAATGAGCAACCCCTCCGGCCGCTGGGTGCACCAGGGGCCGCAGCACAGGGCGAGCGGAATCCCTCCCGGTAGCCTGGGATCCCTTCACCGAGCCGCCAGCTCTGCACTAGCAGTGACACCCAACCATCCCAGGAGACCAGGAGGATTTTTTCCACTTTACAGACGCAAAAACTAAGGTTCTGAGAGACTTCATAACCTGGCCCAGGCGCGGGCTTTGAGAACTGACAGAACCCCAGTCCCTCACACCTGTCCGATTTCACAGCAGAGGACGGTTTGAGCAAACCTGTCATTGCTTCCTCCGAGAACCTACCAGAAACTTCTGGCCATTATCTCGATGCCACACGCAAGTGCAGGGAAGAATCGGCACTCGGGGCCTCTCCTAAACCCGGTTACTAACGTCTACCTTGTGAGTTTTCTCACCCCAGGGGCCCCGGCAGAAGTTTCCCAGCGGCACGACCCCGTCCTTCAGCCCCGCCCACACCCTTTGCCTCCCCACTGGAGGCCCGGCTCCCAGCATCCACTTGGGCTCCCGGCATCCACTTGGGCGCCAGGCCATTCACTTGAGCCCGTCCAGCATCCCGAACACCTGCGTAAACCGGTCTTGGTCCAGGACGCGCCCGTAGCGCAGGGTGAGGTAGAAGGTCTGTTTCCCACTGTACTGCTGGATCCGCACGAACAGCTCTTGGGGCCGATCCGGGCTCTCCGTCATGGGGATCACGTCGGCCACGGGGCAGTAGGTGTCCTGTCGCCGGCCCCAGAAGGTCAGGTGGGCCACCCGCAGCACAGTGCCCGCCTCGTTCACGTACAGGATGCCCACCAGCCTCCGGAAGAAATGGCTCATCCAGTACAACATGGCCAGGGCGAAGCCGGCGACCCCGCCCGCCAGGCACAAGGAGCTGAAGGGCATGAGGCCCTGGGAATAGCCGTAGAGGCCCGGCGGCAGGGCGGCCACCGTCAGGGCCGTCTGTGCCACCTTCAGACGAGACAGGTACCCGAAGGCCTTGATGGCGTCGAACCGGTACACCATCTGAAACTTCTCCGCCTCTGGGCCCGGTGGCTTCTCCTTGGAGGGGGGCGTCCCGCTTCCCAGCCCCCTCCTGGGATCCTGCCCACCGTAGCAGCACAGCCGGTGGAGCGGCCTGCCCCACGCGGCTGGCCGCGGCGACCGCCCCACAGCTTGGAGGAGGGCAGCCTGGAAGGGAGACAGGGAGACCATTTCTCTCAGGGAACTCAACCGTGCGGATCACTCAAGGGACAGGTGCAAAGCCCCTCACACGGAGGCCAATCCTGTGAGATCGGCATTACTGCCAGAGATGGAAAGAAGGGTAAAGCCAGCGGCTTTGTTTGCTGCTGTTGTTCAGTTGCTAAGCCGTGTCTGACTCTCTGCGACCCCATGGACTGCAGCCCATCAGGCTCCTCTGTTGCTTACCTCACAGATGTGCAGGAAAGCTGTACACAAACAAGAACCAATACTTCTACTTTACCACGGAGGAAACCAAGCCCAGAGAAGGCAAGCAATGTACCCAAAGACCCACAGCCAGTCGGTGGGGCCGAGTCTGATTTTTAAAAGCAGTCCTCTTTCCTCCAGGCAGTTCAAGTAAACATGGGAAAGGAGGCACAACCTTCATTCATTCAACAGCTAACCTGCGAAAGGACAGCTCTACGCTGCCACTGAATAATCCATAGCCTGTGTGACATTTCCCCAGGCAGAAAACGCCATCAGTGTCCTAGTGAGGAACAAACCCGGGAGATAGTCATCACAATAACTTTCCAATTCTCGATCAGATTAAAGCGTCGTCTTGGGACTAAATGAAACGCTATTTCTTGGCCTAGACTGAGAAGGGATTGAACGAAGGATGAGGGAAGGATGGAGGCGTCAACCCGCAGCGCTAGGGTTTCATGAGGCGCAGTTTCACACCTCGAACAGTGCAGTGAAAAATACTTTGGGCGGTGGAGTCAGATCTGGGTTCCAAACCCGACTCCTACAGTCACCAGCTGTGGATCCTTGGGCAAATTACTCCGCCTCTCTGGGCCTCAGTTTCTTCATCTTTCAAAACGGGGATCCAGAATATACTGGATGTGATGATGGTTTGAAAGCCTTCAAAACGCACTTGATGCACTCCGAGTGCTCAGTGAGTTTTAGTTATCGCTAGCTGTAGGTCCACGTGACCGGAGGGCAAAGTAAGGCGGGTAGCAGCAAATTAAAACCCACGCGGGATGTCCCTCTGGCAGATTCTCCGAATGAGAACCCCTGGCGTCTGCATACTTGCCCCAGGCCTGCCCCGGACCCCCAAAGCACGTCACCTCCCTCGCTCCCCACCACCCGCTTTCTTACCATGGTACCGCTGCCCGGTGCCGGAACTGAATCCATCTGCTCCCGGAACTGCTAAGAGCGCGTGCTGGGCCCTAATAGGACAGCAGCGCGTTGCATTCTGGGATCTGTAGTCCAGAGCACATCCCCAGGGCCGCTAGTCGCCGGCATTGTGGGAGTGGATTCTCCTCCTCCCGACGTGCCCTACGGCACGGGGGCCGGACCCGGAAGTTCCGGGCAGGGTTCCAAGTGCCAGCGAGTCCTGTTTGGTGCGCGTGGAAACTAGGGTCATGGCTGCTCCCGGCCCAGCGCTCTGCCTCTTCGACGTGGACGGGACCCTGACGGCCCCGCGGCAGGTAAGAGGCGCCCGGTGGTAGCCTGTGCAGAGCCCCCTACTGCTCCCAGACGGGGCTAACGACCGCCCAGGTAGGCAATCTGAGGCGGCTAGGGACCGCCCACCTCCCTTGGAGCGACTGAACTCTGCTGTGTTCCCTGGAGGGCTGAGACGGAAGCCCTAACCAGACCTTCAAAACCCCAGGGTGCTCGGAGAGATGGGACAGGCCGAAAAACTCTAAGAGAGCAAGGAACTTGTGTTGGCTTGGAAAACGCAATTCTGGACTCTCACCGTCAGCCCTGGGTGTGAAACCCAGCTCAGCCCCTTTACCAGCTTGCGTGCTCTTAGACGTATCACTGTGGTCTGTGCCTGTAGCTTGATGTGAAAGACAGATTTCCAGGTCAGACAGGCCGAGTTAGAGTCTCAGCTTTACCTCCTGACAACTATGGGACCTTGAGCAAGTCACTTAACCTTAACCTCAATATCTATGGCTTTAAGTGGGGAAGTGACCTGTTCCTTGAGGTGTTTGTGGGGGTGGGTCGAATGAAATCATATAAGTTCATGAAAGCATCTTGCAAACGGTAGGCTGGGTTCAATAATACTCAATTAGTATTAGCCACCACCGCCACTGCCTCCTCCAGCCCTGCGGTGGAGTGAGGTGATGGATAAGACCTAGATTGCTACAGGCTGTCTGTTGGGAGTGTCCTTGGACTCCTGGAAACTTCTCTTTTCCAGATTTTGTTGCCATGGGCACAGATTTTGTGATGACGCTCACTCTGACCTCCCCCTGGCACGAAATCAGTCACTAAACAGCAGCCATTCAAACTTGGGACTGGTTCCAAGTGGCCTCGCTGTCTTCGAGTTCTGTCTCTACCCTGCTTGGTTCTGGCCGGATGGTAGCAGTGGTGGGTGCGCTCTGGAATTCACACAGAATGTATGTGACCTTAGCCGCATCATTTTACCTTTCTGAGCCACAAGTGCTATGTATCTAGTGATGATACTCAATTGCAAGTTCTCCAAAGGCCCTTTTTGACTCTGAGATTCCACAATCCACACACACTTGTAAATTGTTAAAAACCCATAGTGGTTCAGAGCCAAGGTCAGTAATTCATTGTTTGTAAAGGGCCAGGTAGCAAATACTTTGGTGTTTGCCCACCATATGGTCAGTAGTAACTACTCGACATTAATGCAAAAGCAGCCATCAATCATACATAGACACTATAGCTGTGTTCCAGTAAAACTGCTGCTCTGTTTGGCTCTTTGGTTGTAGTGATCTTGGGTTTACATTCCAAGGCTTTTTACACAATATCATTAGAGCCTCTTAACCCTTCTCCCTCTTTCATCCCAAGTAGGGTAGTTATTTCCATTTTAAATTAGGAAACAGACACAGTGAAACCATGAACTTGGTTTCCGTACAAGATCTGATGCAAGTCTCTGGGCCTCAGAGTATTGTTATTTGCTGATTTGCCATTTTCTGCCAAGGCTTCAAGATGGAGGCTTTTCTGGTTACGAGGTGTGCCATTCAGGAATGTGCTTCTGATTCCCAATAGGAATCAGGACATATAAGCACAAAGTATGAAATAGCAGCAAAACCAGGCAACTTGCAGTGTATTCCCTTGAAACATTTGAAACATTTCTTTGGTGAACATGATTTTTACACTTAAAAAAAATATCTAAGTTTTATGCACTGGGTGCTCCAGGTAAAAAATAAAGCTAATTTAGCAACAGATCTGCATTATACAACCTTTCCCTTCCTCAATAAACAACATTCTCAAACACTGATAAGCACAAGGCAATCCGAAAGCAATCAAATGGATTATCTTTTCTTGCAGCTGCTGAAACAGGATATGACCTAATCAGGTAAAATCTAACCAGTGGCTCCAGAGCTTTGCGCATTTCAATGTGCTAGTAGAACGTTGCTGTTCTGAGTGCTTTCCTAAGAAATGCCATTGCATTTAAAAGCAGTTGAGACTTAGAAGCCTGCAAAGAGAAGCAGGGCATAAACCTGGGTGGACTGTTTTCCAGCTTTCTCTCATGAAAAGCTTCAAACGTACAGAATCGCTGGGGAAAAAAAACAGTACCCAGAAGAACCATATTCACATCACTTAGATTCAACAATGATTGGTATTTTTTTTAATTGGTTTATTTTTGGCCACATTGGATCTTTGTTGCTGCCCTCAGGCTTTCTGTAGTTGCTGCGAGCAGGGGCTACTTTTTCTTGGGGCGCTGTGACTTTGGGGTGGCTCTTTGCGGAGCACAGCCTCTAGGCGCATGGGCTGCAACAGTTGCCGTGCGTGGGCTCAATGGTTGGGGTGCACGGGCTCTGTTGCCCCACAGCATGCGGACTCTTCCCAGATCAGGGATCGAACCCGTGTCTCCTGCAGGTGGACTCTTATCCACTCTACCACCAGGGAAATCCTCACTCTCTTTTTTTAATCTTTGCTGTATCACTTCCAAAGCTGTAGTCGTAATGGTACTTCACCCCTGAATATTTACTGTTGTAAGCACAACTTCGTGATCACACCTAAGGAAACGATCAGCAGTGCCCTAAAGTGATTTTATACAGGGGTCAGCAAACTTTGCTCTGTAAAAAGCTGCTTGTGACCACAATCGAGCATCTGAACTCCCACAGCCCCGCCGCAGGAGGTAGGAAATGGCTGAGGTTCACACAGCTGCTCACCCCTGTAGTCATGACTGCAGACACCACAGAGATGAATGGATATGACTGTGTTGCGGTCACTGTACAGAAACAAGCAGAGGGTTGGTTCTGGCCCACAGGCCTGGTTTTCTGACTCTTCCTCTGCTCCTTAATTTTCCTTAATTATCCCTGAGAAGTCTTCTATAATTTTTTTTTTCACATTAATTCCAAGTTTTGGGCTCCTTGTGTTTTGTCTGGGATGACTTATAAAGAATTCCTTGAATTTATCACAAGAGCTATTTAGAAACATTATGACTCAATCAAAAATTGGGCAGAAGACCTCAACAGATATTTCTCCAGAGAAGACAGACAGATGGCCAATAAACACATGAAAAGATGCTCAACATCACTCTTTATTAGAGAAATCCAAATCCAAACTACAATGAGGTATTGCCTCACACCAGTCAGAATGGCCATCATCAAAAAATCTACAAACAATAAATGCTGGAGAGGGTGTGGAGAAAAGGGAACCCCCCTACTGTTAGGGCTTCCCTGGTAGCTCAGCTGGTAAAGACTCCGCCTGCAATGCAGGAGACCTGGGTTCGATCTCTGGCTTGAGAAGATACCCTGGAGAAGGGAGCATCTACCCACTCTAGTATTCTGGCCTGGAGAATTCCATGGACTGTATATGTATAGTCCATGTAGTCGCAAAGACTCAGACACGACTGAGCGACTTTCACTTCACTTTCACTTCCTACACTGTTAGTGGGAGTATAAACTAATACAGCCATTATGGAGACCAGTATGGAGATAAAACTAGAAATAAATCTACCATATGATCCAGCAACCCTACTCCTGGGCATATACCCTGAGAAAACCATAATAGAAAAACACATATGTGTCCCAGTGTTCATAGCAGCACTGTTTACAACAGCCAGGACATGGAAGCGACCTAGATGTCCATTGACAGATGAATGGATAAAGAAGCTGAGATACATATATACAAAGGACTATTAGTCATAAAAAAAAGAACGAATTTGAGTCAGTTCTAGTGAGGTGGATGAACCTAGAACCTGTTATACAGAGTGAAGTGAGGCAGAAAGAGAAAAACAAATATATTAATGTGTTTATGTGGAATCTAAAAAAGTGGTATTGATGAACCTGTTTGCAGGGAAGGAATGAAGACGCAGATATCACAGAGAAGGGACTTGTGGACACTGGGGGTGGGAGAGCGTGGGATGAATGGAGAAAGGAGCAACAACACATAAACAAGACGGACAGCTGGTGAGAAGCTGGCACTCTGATGACCTGGAGGAGAGGGAGGCGGTGGATGTGTACTTACGGCTGACTTGCATTGTATGGTAGAAATCAATACAACATTGTAAAAAAATTTTTTAATATATTTAAATAAATGGAAAAAAAGGCTTCTCCGTGCCCCCACACACAAAAAGAAACATGGCAACAGTTTTGCTGTGTGGTTACTTTCCTTCATGTCTCTCTCCTGTGGTGGGGGCTAGTAGAGATGCTCGATTGTGGTCAGAAGCAGCTGGGTCTTATTTCCTGTCGAGAAATATTTGCTGCCACCTGTAAGGGAGAAGGTACCTCTCTGACCCATGCATGTTGAGCATGTCTTCTGGCTGACCTGCCAGACCATTCAGCTCATCAGTGCTCACAAGGGTCCAGATAAAAATAAATGGTACCCTTTGGCTTCTGTGTGAAGGTGGAAGTGTTATGTTTGTTGTGAGTGTTGCATTTCTAATGTTCTGCAATCACAGGAATCTTCCCCACTTCCTCCCATTCTGACCTCATGTCTGAGATCAATGCTTGGGGGGGCCTCTGGGGCCCATTTTCGGTCACTGACTCAGAAGCCACTAGACTGTCCACTAGGTCAAGATTCCACCGGAAGATGTGGAAAAGATTGCACTCTCTTGGAAGCCCTTCTGCACAATTTTATTAACCATATGCATGCACTACTCTTAAAATAATGCTTTCTAAAGAAAAAGAGAAGATTGAACTCTAGATGTTTTTGTACTGAAGTTAAGTGGATTTTTTTGCTTTTAGTTTCTGGTAGCTTTATTTGTGAAGATAAGTGCACAATCACAGCTTTATTTATGGAGATAAGTGTCCATGTAAGTGTACCATTAAGATTGCCAGCAGCAATGAAACAAGGGTTTAACAGATAACTTTGTGGTTTGCCTTAACACAGGGATATCGCTTCATCTCAGTTTAAAATTTATTTTGAATTAGCACATGAGTTGGAATTAGCAACAACTTGAATCCATAAATGCAATACAGTGTAGCATTTGAAAGGAATGGATCTATGTGCCTTCTGGAAAAATCAGCACAACTTAATACTGAGAAAGCAAGTCATTGTGCAAGACATAGAATGAGTCCAAAAAGAATGTTTCAAAAAGTAGAGCCTTTTTATATATATGCCTACAGACAAGGGTATAAATGCACAGGAAAAAAAAAAAGCTGGAGCAAAACATAACAGCTGTTACTGTATTATTTGTGTGTTTTAAGGCAGGTAAAATTTTTAATTTAGCAAGTTTTTTTTTCTGATAAACTTGATGTCCCAAAGTGAAAGTAAAGTCATTCAGTTGTGTCTGACTCGTTGTGACCCCATGGACTGTAGCCCACCAGGCTCCTCCATCCATGGGATTCTCCAGGCAAGAATACTGGAGTGGGTTGCCATTTCCTTCTGCAGGGGATCTTCCCAACCCAACGATCAAACTCGGGTCTCCTGCATTGCAGGCAGACTCTTTACCATCTGAGCCACCAGGGACCCTCCCCAATGTCCCAAAAGCACAACCAACCAGTTGGTCTTACCTGTAGATGCAGAAGCAGATAGACAAGTAGGAGAGTAAAGATAGTGTTACTCTTGAGGGTCTTAATCTCCTGATTCCTGCATGTCTCCTGACTGTTTGTTTTCCTTTTTGAAATGCAGAAAATTACCAAAGACATGGATTGCTTTCTGCAAAAACTGAGGCAGAAGATCAAAATTGGCGTTGTCGGTGGGTCAGACTTTGAGAAAGTACAGGAGCAACTGGGAGATGACGGTAGGCTCTGCGTTGCTCGTTAGGTTTGGTCCAAGAGTAACTTCTTATGAGGTTATCGGGACCCATCGCCACTTAGTGTTGTGGTTACAGCCCTGAAGCCTCTTGCCTGTGGGGCAGCCTTCCTGCTTCCTTGTTGGGGGAACATTTTCTCTGCCCTTAGTTTTTCTCTGTTTTTTTTTAATCCTATACATACATTTCTGGAGCTGCTGGTGAAGCAGTTGGTACTCAGACATGTGGACAGAGGGACCTAGAAACGTAGGTGTCTGTGTCTCGGCCTGGAATCCTTCTTGCTGATATCCATTAACTGCCTTCCTGGCTTCAGTTTGGGCACCATCCCGACATCTTGCTCACCTGGGTGTTGAGGGGTCCTGTGGGTCTTCACGCCCACCTCCATTGTCCTATCGCAGTGTTTCCCGGAGTCACCCAGGCTCCTCCCCCACCTGGGGAACCAGAATCCAGAGCCCCTGACCTCAGGAAGCTGGAGACTGACTCAGTAGGTCCGTGGGGCCTGGAATCATACTTCAGCAACTGCCTTCGGGAGATTGTAGGGCTGCTTATGTTTTATGTAGCGCTGAATATTGGAGACTGTCTCCTTATGTCTGTCTTGAAGACTGGGACTACGGATTATTCATCTTCATGGCCCCAGGGCCGCTGGGGTGCCTGTGAGAAACAGTGGGTGGAGACCTAGAGAGCCTGAGCTTTCTCTTTGGCACCATTGACGTCTGGGGCCAAGAACTCTCTGTTGTCTGGTGCGCTGGATGCTGCTGAGCGGTATCCGCGGCCTCTGCTCACTTGTTGCCAGCGGCACCCCCTCGCCCAGGATGACGCCACATACACCTCCAGACACCGGAGATGTCCCCCGGGGCAGCGTCACCCCCGGTTGAGAACCACTCCTCGAGATGTAATACCTTCCAGTGCAAATCTTTGTGGGGTGTATGTACCAGACCGGTTACTGAAAGTAAACTATGCGGTCCCTTTAAAGCCCTCTGTTCTGGGCTTCCTTGAGGTCCCAGTGGTTCAGACTCCATGCTTCGCTGCAGGGGTCGTGGGTTCGAGTCCCTAGTTGGGGAACTAAGATCCCGTATGTCTTGGGGTGCAGCCCAAAACAGAAGCTCTCTGTTCCTCTTACACTAACTGTCCTTGTAGGTGCTCAGTTTAGAAATGCCATAAACAACATGTTGTTTGTTGTTTAATTTAGTCGCTCAGTCATGTCCGACTCTTTACGACCCCGTGGACTGTAGCCTGCCAGGCTGCTCTGTCCATGGGGGATTTCCCAGGTAAGAATACCAGAGTGGGTTGCCATTTCCTTCTGTAGGGGATCTTCCCGATGCAGGGATCAACCCTGAGTCTCCTGCACTGGCAGGCGGATTCTCTACCACGGAGCCCACCTGGGAAGCCCGTATAAACATAATGGGGCACATTAAGACCCTGTTACCTGGACCTGATTGCCCTTTATGCCTCTGATCAGGTATTTAACCACAGGCTCAGAGAGGTTTTGTCAGTGTAGGAAAGCGTGTTACCTTTCAGAGTGTGAGTAGAAACACCAGATTCAAAACAGTCACACGCCAGAAGAAACTGAAAGACCCACCTGTATGAGAATCACCTGGGGACCTCGTTCAAATGCAGAGCTGGGCCCCCACCCAGCACACCGTGCCTGGGAATCTGCACTGTAACAAGCGCCTGAAGTCTGCGACCATCCAGATTGATACGGGCTTCCCCTGTGGCTCAGCGGTAAAGAATCTGCCTCCGATGCAGGAAATGTGGGTTCAGTTCCTGGATGGGGAAGATCCGAGGGAATGGCAACCCACTCTAGTATTCTTGCGTGGAGAATCCTTGTGGACAGAGGAGCCTGGTGGGCTACAGTCCATGGGGTCACACAGAGTCGATTGAAATGACTTAGGATGAATGCAGGCAAGATTGATGTGGGTGGTCTTAAGAATCACCTGAAGAGCTTTTTTTTAAAAAAAAATCTTCTGATTCTTAAAGCCTGGCCCTGCAGGTTCTGATTCAGAAACGCCGGGATCATAGCCTCAAATTCAGCAGATTTTCCTCACTGTTCGGATGACACAGGTTCCAGCGGGATTTGGGAGCCATCGTTGCCTTCAACTTGCCTTTACAAATAAACAGGCGGAAGGCAGAGACACGCAGTGGCCCACCACCGACTCTTCAGTCTGCAGCCTAATTGTCCTCTGTTAAATTGATAACAAAGGACCTTTTAAAAAAAATTTTTAAGGAGCTTTATTCCACCCTCCCAATCTGTTAAGATAGGTCAGTACTGGAGTTTAGCAGTTTTGTTGGCCATGTGTTAATGAAGAAATAGAAACACAGGGTTCAATTCATTCTATTCTAAAGTTTCTTTTGTTTTATTGGCAGTTATTAAAAAATATGATTACGTGTTTCCAGAAAATGGCTTGGTAGCATACAGAGATGGGAAACTCTTGTGTAAACAGGTAGGTTCGCAAGTATCCAGACTACGAAAGACCCCTGGTCAGATGTTTTCTGGAAAGGCACTTGAATGCCTTTGGGGCTGAGAGGTAATGAGTCTTCGCCCTCGTTTCTTACGTGTTGAACCATGTGACGATTACACATTCCAAATTGCTAACTTAATTTTTATAATTGCTTTTTAAGGGTAATTAATCTAATATTTCTGTTATGGTAGCAGAGACCAGTGCAGGCTGCTTGCTACAGACATTTTTTACGCAGTCCTATGTAGCTCTTATTACCATTAGGATCCTTCTGTTCAGACAGAAGAGGAAACCGAAGTGAAACAAATATGTTTTCTATCTGTGTCTGCAGATATTTTAATGGAATAAAAGTAGCAATGATAAACTCTGTGGGGGCTTCCAGGAAGCACTTTGAGAGATAACGAACATAAAAGTCTTGAGTAATGAAGCAGGAAATGGTTTTGACTGTAGCCCTTTATGGTTTGCCCGATGTTTTCAGCAAATAAGAAAGGGAGAGGAGAAAGGCAGTGTGGATGTCACCCACCCCCGCCAGGTGACCGACCTTCAGCCCACGGTGGCTGAAGACCTGTCTTGGCTGGAAGGCCGTTTTGAAAACATCACCTGCTGTGTCAAGTAACATCAGCATTTTCTTTATCTAGAATATTCAAGGTCACCTGGGTGAAGCCCTAATCCAGGATTTAATCAACTACTGTCTGAGCTACATCGCGAAAATCAAGCTCCCGAAGAAGAGGTGGGTTTGCTCCTAGCAACGAGGCGCCACTGGAATATGGCGTCACATCCTCTGGCAGGTTAGGGCTTAGTTAACTCCGCAGCGCAGTGCTTACAAGGGGTCACCGGCAGCCTTCTGCGAGGCCAGCAGTGGACGAATGACTATATAAATGATGGTGTGTCCACATGACAGGAATTGAAAGCTCGATGCTGTCAAAGGCTGCCGGTCAAGGCACCTGCCTATGACACAGCAGCGTGGGAAGAGCATCAGCCCCAGCTGGGGGCTCAAAACTAGAGGCCCCCAGGCCAAATCCCCCCCAGAGCCACGTTCACTTGGCCCCTGCTGTTCAGTACAATCTGCATTAAGTGCTATCGTTTTTTAATTTTTATCCATTCATTCATTTATTTTTGGCTGTGCTGGGTCTTTGCTGCAACGCATGGGTTTTTTTCTAGTGGCGAGCGGAGCCTCCTCCAGTTGCGGTGCAGTGGCGTCTTGTCAGAGCACTGTGCTCTAGAGTCCCCGGGCTTAGTTGCTCCAAAGCGTGTGGAATCTTCCCAGACCAGGGATCGAACTGTGTCCCCTGCCTTGGCCGGTGGATTCTTAACCACTGGGGAAGTCCCAGTGCTGTCATTTAAAAGTCTGATTTTAAATGTCTGGGCTTCTGGCTTCTGTTGCATCTGAAGACCCAATAGTTCAGTGCCCGCCCTCAGCCTGGCAGCAGCTGGGAGGGCACAGGGGCAGTGCTGACCCCCGCCCCCACCACCATCTCCAGCCTTTCACAGGCCGTTTATGTCATTTTTCTGGCCTCTCTAGACATCGATTTATGAACCTACCTCTTGCTCTGAACACTTATAATCTCAATTCCCATTTTTAAATAATAACAGTAACATGCACACATGCCCACAATTGAAAAAGTGGCAGGAAATGGACCTGATGCTAACAGTGGCTGTTTCTGGGTAATGAGGTTACAGGTGGTTTCTTTGAAATACTTTTCATTTTCTTCTGTTTTCTGCACTTAATCTGTGACACCCTAGTGATTAGGAGGTGAAACATTTCTTAAACGGCAATTAAATTTCAAGACATGCTGCAGTTTCGAGACTGAATTCCTGAACCAGGTGGCCCTGTTCGGCTCCAGCTCCTCCTCTCAGAGGGCGGGGCTTTTGGTTTTCTCGTCTTTTCTCATCTGTCCCAGGAAGCAGGGTGGATGAGACAGGCGGGCCCTCAGGTCCATTTTTGTTGGAACTGGGAGGTGACGTGACCTATGAGCGTTCGTTACCCTGTGGTGTTGACTTTTGTATAAGTTAGAAATTCTCCGTTGTAGAAAGTATCCCAGGTCAGTTCAGTCTTTACTTTGGGCTAAGCGTTAAGGGAAGATAAAAAGAGGGTAAAATCCACTCCTGTTCTCAGAGAAGATGTCATCTAGTGAGAGAGACCAACGTGCAGAGTTGCGACTCTGAATTAGTCCAAGGTTCCTGATGGATTCAGGAGGCAGAGCCGAGATCCTCTTTGAACAGCATTTGCCCACGTTTCTCGTGGGCCTCACTCTGTGCCCCACTTAGAGCGGGCAGAGCGGGCAGGTGCAGTGAAACATCAGATAGTCCAGATCTTCAAGGGGGAAGTGAATGCTTGATCAACCACCTGAGTCCTGGTGTTAGAAGCCATTCAACAATGCATCAGCTGCCCTCCCTGCCTTGGGAATGAGAGTAATAATGTGTCCTTGAGCTGGGGAAACAATTGAGCTCTTTTTCTGACAGTTTAGGACCCACAGGCCTAGGATCCCCCACGAATGATAACCGTTGCCCCTGGACCCTCGTGTACATGTAGACTGTGCAGGGGACCGGCCGGGCTGCCCAGAGTCCAAGACAGCTGGGCGGGGGTTTGGAGCAGTGTCTCCGGCGCACACACGATTGCCTCTCTCTCTGCAAGTGGAGCACAGCAGGGGAGGGTCCCGTGAGGGAGATTTTGCTGTTTTCACTTTCCTTGATTGAGTATTCATTGCTACTCAGTTGGCAAAGTACTTTTACGAAAGATTTCAGGAGCCCCTTTGGGGGCTTAGAGCGAGTGCCCTTAGCCCCCTTCTGAGGCTCAGAGCGGTGCCCAAGCTCACCTGGTAAACTGTGGCCTGCCTTGGCCTGGAATCTGGTCCCAGCCCCACGCCTGGAGCTCGGCCTGCAGAAGCTTTACTGAGCTCACCTGAGATCTCGGCAGCTTTTCCTGCGTCGCTTTGCTTGGTGAAAAGCAGCATTTCACTGGCTCACTGGCCAAGGCGTCTGTGTAGATGCTTTCAGATTCCTTGGGGAGGGTGAGAGCTCGTCATTGTTTCCATAGCTCTTTGCTCACTCTAACAGTCTGCCCGAGAGCAGCACTGTCCAGCTGAAATGTAATATAGTTTTTGAGCTTTCTGCAGTGCTGGGTTTTTTGTTTTTTAGGAAAGAAAGGAACAAGTGAAATTAGTTTTAACATGCTTTATTTAACCGAATATATCCAAAATATAATCATGTCAAGTAATAGTCAATGTAAAGCGTTATCGGGACCTCCCTGGTGGTCCAGTGGCTAAAACTCCACGCTCCCAATGCAGGGGGCCACGTTCGATCCCTGGTCAGGGCACTAGGTCCCTCATGCTGTAACTAAGACCCGGCTCAGCCAAATAAGTAAATGTTTTAAAAGCTAAGTAAAGCATTTTTAGTGAAGATTACACTCTTTCACATGAAATCTCTAAATGCTCGTCTCCAATCGGATCAGCCACAGCTCAGGGCTCATGGGCCACATGGGGCTGTTGATGGCCCATGGCCCAGCACAGCTCCTCCACATGTTGATCACACCCGCCTCTGCCTATGGAATTGCCCACCTCTTAGCCTGTCTGTCCTTCTGCCGTGTTGCTCAAATGTGTGTCCGGGACCCCTCTCCCCTTCCTCTCCCGCCCAGGGGCACTTTCATAGAGTTCCGTAATGGGATGCTGAACGTGTCGCCAATCGGAAGAAGCTGCAGCCAGGAAGAACGCATTGAGTTCTACGAGCTCGATCAGGTGAGTCTTCCTGACATAGCCCGGGTGTGCGAACACGTGGTTTGCCTCTGTGGCGGAGAAAGCCGCTGTCCACTGCACTAGACTCTCGGTATCTTTTTGTCTTCCTCAGAAAGAAAAGATAAGACAAAAGTTCGTGGAGGACCTGCGAGAAGAGTTTGCGGGGAAAGGCCTCACGTTTTCCATAGGTACCATACGTCCGAGGGGTTCGTGCCGGGAGGTGGCTGTGGGGTGTGCTATTGAACTTGGACTCAGTCTTGAACTTGGACTCAGTGCTCAGTTTGCTGATGAGCAGCAGGATTTTACGGGTGGCCCATCCATAAGGGGGAAAGCACTCACCTGGGACTTCCCTGGCAGTCCAGTGGTTGAGACACTGCACTCCCAAAACAGGGGGGCATGGGTTCGATCCCTAATTGGGGAACTAATCCCATGTGTCGCACAGCACAGCCTAAAGTAAATTTTTGAAAAATAAAAACCACTATCCTGCAAAATCAGCCGTAGCAGCAACTTTCCAGGTTAGGAGATGATTTCCAGGCTGCTGGTTCTGAATCCTCACCCATCAGGATTCTTCCTCCCAAAGCTTCTGCTCAAAAATGAGAGCATCTTGCTTGATGAACTGTGTGCGATGAAGGGGCTTCCCAAGTAGCACTCATGGTAAAGAATCCACCTGCCAAGGCAGGAGACGTAAGAGACTCATGTTCAATCCCTGGGTCAGGAAGCTCTCCTGGAGAAGGGAATGGCTACCCACCCCAGCATTCTTGCCTGGAGAATCCCATGGACAGAGGAGCCTGGCGGGCTACAGTCCATGACTGAGCACACACGCACACGCATGTGTGTGCGTTTGATGAAGAGTGAGAACTTATCCGCACACCTTTGAGCCAGAGATAGCACGTGGGTGACTCTGTAGAAGAGCGATGGGATGGGGCAGGGGTCAGAGGGAGCCTCTTAGGTCAAGTAAGTCGAATGTTTCTGAAATCCTGTAATGTGTGACCAGCAGAGAACCTTAGAAGTCGCTTGGGCTGATTTTACAAACCAAGAAACGGGGCCCAGAAAGGAGAAGGCGCTTGTCTAGGTTCCTGCAGCTTCTGCCGACAGTGACCAGCCAGCGTGACCGTTTCTGTGTCTGATGCAGAGTCCTCCCGCAGCGCCGGGCGCCTCCGCCTTGCACTCAGGTGGAACACGCCCAGCTTTAAGCAGACGGGTTTCTACTGTCAGTGCTGTTGAGCCTTTTTTTTTTTTTTTTTTTTTTTTTTTTAGCCATTTCTTAAAGCCCTCTCTTTTCACCAGCCCTAATAAGCGAGCGTACACTTGCCAGAATAGCAGAGCTGCAGAGGGACTCTGTGTAAAAGATGACTGGGTGGGCTGTTAAGTGTCCTGAGAAAGCCTCGAAAGGGTTTTGTGTTGCCCATGAAAGCTGTGTGGAAAATGGCCGTCCGTGGGATTTTCATCTTCCTGCCCAACAAGCTGGGTGCATCTTGCTGTTGGGAGGGTGCCCCGAGAGTGCGCTGTGGCTGGAGGTGAGCAGGGCTGCAGCAGGCTGTTGGCGGCTTGCACGCCGGCCTGCCTCAGCGCCTAAGCCTGCCCTGCAGAGGCAGACGCGGTTCTCACTCTGAGTCAGCATGCTGCGTCTCTTTCAGACTTCAGATTTTTAGATTTTAAGTGAAATGATATCGGGGAGGGGGACGCATAATGCCAAAATTAATTTCTAGGGACTTCCCTGGTAGTCCAGTGGTTAGGACTTGGTCTTCGAATACAGGGGTGGCAGGTTCTATCGCTGGTCAGGGACCTAAGATCCTGCATGCCTCTGGGCCAAAAAAACAAAATGTAAAACAGGAGCAACACTGTAACCAGTTCAGTAAAGACTTTAAAAATGAGCCATATCAAAAAATATATGTATTTATCTATATCTTAACTAAAAATAAAACAACCATAGCAACAATTATTTTAAAAAAAATTCCTAGAAGCTACCCCTAAAGTATGGTAATTAGCAAGCCAGGGTAATAAAAATCAACCCTGGGGCTCCAGTTACAGACTAGCTTGAAGGGCACCTTTTTTTTTTCAGTGACACATCATTAACCTCCTTTGCATCTCTGGCTCATGTGTCTCTCTCCCCACTCGGCAGGAGGCCAGATCAGCTTCGACGTCTTCCCCGACGGCTGGGACAAGAGGTACTGCCTGGGACACGTGGAGAAGGATGGCTATAAGACCATCTATTTCTTTGGCGACAAAACCATGCCAGTAAGTATGGAAGTGTGTTAGCAGTCGCGTTGTTCAGTTTGGGCTGGGGGAAAGGACAGACAGAGGGGCTTTTTCCCCCTACCACGCACACTTCGCCCAGGAGCCTGGCTGACCCTGGGTGGCGGCTTCTGTCCTGTGGGGTGGGGGTGATGGAGCCCCCTCTTCTCTGCGCTCAAGACACCTGACGCCCCTGGAGGTAAGGATAGAGCCTTTCAGTGTGGTGTTGAGTGTCGCCCGCCTGAGCACTTTCCAGAACAAGACCCGGGGCTGTCATCGTATTCTCTTTGCGTTTCGAAGCCCTTGCCTTTTTCATTTTTCACTGTATTTTCCCCCAGAGGCATTCATCTTGATTAGGCACGAGGAGCCCTGAATGGTGGCAGAACGGGAATCTCATAGGTCTGACATTCAGGAGAGGTGAGAGGTGCAGGGTCAGATGCAGGCATCACTCACAGCGGGTAGGGGGCCGTCCCGGGGGCACGGTCAGGAACCCCCAGTCCAGGACTGAACCTGAACTGGAGGCTGAGAGCAGAACCCGGTGTGGAGAGACCAGCGCCAGCCGAAGGCATTGCCCCGGAGCCTCGGGGCTCTCATGAGGACAGGCAGGTCTCCTCGGGTCGGACCGAGAGGCGTTGCCGCCATTGAGGCTCCCAGGAGGTGCACCCCCAATGGCCACTGCCCAGCCCGGGGCCTCCGCCCTTCACCTTCTCTCACCTCGTGTCCCTCTGCTTCCCCGTGGGCCACCCAGGGTGGTAGCTGCCCTGCTGTCAGGCTCCTGGCTCGGGCTTTGTGGCTGACCTGCAGCAGCCAGTGCCACAGAAACCGTGGATGGAGTCTTTAATTCCTCCAGCACAAAACCCAGGATTTGTGCGGTTTTACTAAAGTCTGTTCCACGAGGAGGGCTTCCAAGGTGGTGCTAGTGCTAAAGAACCCACCTGCCAATGCAAGAGACGTAAGAGATGGAGGTTCGATCCCTGGAGAAGATCCCCTGGAAGAGGAAATGGCAGCGCACTGCAGTATTCTTGCCTGGAGAATCCTGCGGACAGAGGAGCCTGGCGGGGTACAGTCCATGGTGTTGCAGAGTTGGACTTGGCACACACATCCACATGGACCTGCCTTTTTCAGGAAGATCTCCACGTGCTAGTCTTCCTGCAGGAAAGGGACTTTCAGATAGTATAGTCTCAAGTCCTGCTTTCCAAATTATAACTGGGGGACTTGCCTGGCAGTCCAGCGGTTAGGACTCAGAGCTTCCACTGCTGCGGGCCTGGGTTCAATCCCTGGATGGGGAACTAAGGTCCCACAAACTGAGTGGTGTGGCCAGAAAAAAAAATTATAAACCTGGGTCTCAGCGAGGTTAACCTTCCCAAGGTCACACAGGTAATGATAGAGCTGGTGACCCGAGAGCCAGCTGCCCACTTTTTCAGTGAGTATAGTTCCCAGTCCACAGACCACCTCTCCAGCGGGCAAGCTTCTGTCTTGTTCCCCAGCGAACACCGGGCTTCTCAGGAGCTGTATCAGTGAGCCTCTCAATGATGGAGAGAAAAGGTTTATAACCACCTCCTTTTGTTGAAATGCTTTGAGGCAGAAGTGCTTTTAAATTCAGGCCTTGGGGGAAGAAAGTCACTGTCTGAGGCAAAGCAAGCAAATGATACTACACCCAGGATCTAAGGGAGGGCCAGAGACTTCCCCCGTCCCCCTAGCTTTGAGCCGGTCCTTATAGTCTGAGAAGCGGGCTCTTAGACGGGCCAGGACAGATAATTCTGTGACGATGACCGTCTTGCTCTACGTAAACAGCCCTCTGAGTCCTTGGTTGGGGCTTTGCAGAGTGGAATGCACTTCTTGAGGTAATCAGTGAACGACTTCTTTGGGGAATTTTTCATATAGGAGTTAGAGAGTTTTCTGTTTAACCACTGTATTATCACACATCAGTCTGTTTTGTTGTTTATTGTTGTTGTTTTAACTTTTATTGGAGTATGTGCTGTGCTTCGTCACTCAGTCGTGTCCGACTCTTTGCGACCCCATGGACCATAGCCCGCCAGGCTCCTCTGTCCACAGGGATTCTCCAGGCGAGAATACCAGAGTGGGTTGCCATCCTGTCCTCCAGAGGATCTTCCCGACCCAAGACTTGAACCGGGGTCTCCGCATAGCAGGCGCATTCTTTACCAGCTGAGCTACCTAGGAAGCCCTTACGGGAGTATAGTCACTTTTTAATGTTTTGTTACTTTCTGCAGTACCGCGGTGAATCAGCTATATGTATACACAGTCCCCTCTTTTTTGGATTTCCTTCCCACTTAGGTCACCACGGAGCGTTGAGTAGGCTCCCTGTACTACACTGAGTCCTGTCTGACTCTTTGTGACCCATGGGCTGTAGCCCGCCAGATCGCTCTGTCCGTGGGATTTCCCAGGCAAGAACACGAGTGCATTGCCATTTACTCCTCCAGGGGATTTTCTTAACCCGGGGATTGAGAAATCCCTGTGTCTCCTGCTTTGGCAGGAGGATTCTTTACCACTGACCTCTTTTACACATAGTAATGTATCAGTTACCTTCTTTTTTAATCTTACCTACCGTTAAAAACTGGATACTGTGAAATGGAGGTACCCCCCCCCCCCACTCAATTCTTAATTAATAGGCATTCACTGTAGAAAATTAGAAACAGCATGAGGAAGAAAGTAGAAGGCATTGGTGAGTCACAGCTGACATGCTGCCCAGCCTTTTTGCATGTCTGTACATGACCCCAAATGTGGCACCTGGCATGTTCTTTTGTTTCTTTTCTGCTTTTGTTCTCAACATATTTCATTCCTGCCCCCGTGTTAGGGAATATTTTTTGAAGACAGACTTTTGATGGCCATATAACATTGTAGCGTTTAGGCACAGTCTATTGACCCATTTCCCTAGGAGGCCCTTTTGGGTTGTGGCTCTTTGCTCTCGTAATGAACACTGTGGTGAACCCTTCTTGCGTCATCCTTAGCCCTCTTCTCTGATCTTCTTTGTCAGTGGTTTTCCTGGAAATGGGAGTTAGCAGCCCAGCCATCTGAATCTCTTAACATCCTGACACGCGGAGCAGTTCAGATACTAGCTTTAAGCATCTTTTTGTATTCAGTGATAGACATTTTGAAAACTGTTTTCTTTCTTTGTGCTGGGGAAATGTTTTTGCTGGCTTCCCGGGAGATGGCACCTGAGCTGAGTACAGGGTGAAAAACCATTTCCCTGCCAAGCTCAGCAGACTCAGTTTCCCTCTGATGGGATCTGACATTGTATGGGGTCCCCCGTGTCTTCCCCGACCCCCAGCCCACCCTGAGCACCTCCAGAGAGCAGAGGGGAGAAGTAAGAGGCTGGCCTTTGCTTTTCTAAACCCTTGTCAGTGCTGGAAACCCTCTCATCCTCGCCAGCAATCACAGCAACCAATGTCCTTCTAAACCCAGCTCCAAGTTCAGGTTAAAGGCCCTGGCTCCAGCCTTGGGGGGCCTCAGTTTGCTGTGGGAGGGAGACAGCCAAGGCTTGGGAGGATGACCCAGGCCGCTCTGCCTAGCCCTCTGGGGGGCTGCCACATCACCCCCAGCCTTCCTGAATTACCAGGCAACAGTGCTGCTTGTTTAATGCTTTTTGTAAAAAAACATCTTGACTTTTAAGTCGCTGCAGCATGAAAACACACCTGAACCCTTTGTGAGCATTACCCACTGATGGACTTTGCCTCCATAGTTCCTCTCTGGTTAATTCAGCTCACAGTTCTCTCCTCCGTGTGTTGAAACCGCTACAGAGAGGGGCCGGCCCAGCTAGGACCCCGCCCTTCGCAGGAGGAGATGGAGTAAACACAGCTCCATGCCAGGTAGCCTAAAACAACTAGAGCAGTGTAACACGCTGTGTTACTGTCTAAAGACAGAGAAGTCCCCTCTCCTCACGTTTGTGTGTCTGTGCCCACGGGGGGTCTGAAAAGATACCCCAGAAACAAATTCCCAAGTTAACTGTGGAGGTAGGGGCGAGGATGGCAGAGGGACTTCCCACTGTGACCAGATCCTATTCTTTACATTTCTGAACTGCCTGAAGGTGCAGTCTATTGAAAAATAAAACTTTAAACTGTCTAATTGAAAAAGGGAAGAAGACGAAACTTTTCAAGTACTTCCTCAGTGCCAGACCCTGAGCTAGACACTTCCACGGGGTCTCTCCCGCCCCCACGGCAGCCGGGAAAGACAGGGGCCCCACAGAGGGTCAGCCCCCGAGTGGGCTCTGGAAGCCCCTCCCTTGTCATTCTCTCCCCTCACTTCCAAAGCACTGAGATCACTCTGCCTTTAAAACCCGTGTGGTGGAGACAGGCAGTGGGCTTGAGAGCACTCAAATCTGCGCCCCCAGAAGCCCGGCGCAGTGACCACAAGCGAGTCTCTGTCTCTCCCTGGGCCTCGGTGCCCTGGGCCGTCCACTGGGGCATGGGTCCCCTTCTGAAGGCTCTAGAACAAACTGAGGTCTTAACAGGGCAGGCAGTGGGGCAAGCCTGGCCTGCATCCAGAAGCCAGTGCCTTTAAGGAAGTTAGATTAAGGCTCCCTGGGGCTGAGGGCGCTGTGTGAGGCTGGGGTCCACGGGGCGGATGATGCGTCACCGTTGGGAGTGGTACCCAGCCACCCTCGAGATGCTCCTAGGTCTTCAGCCTCAGTCAGGACCTCCTCGCTGTGCCCAGCACCTCGAGGCATCTCCTGGACCCCCATCGAAAGCACCGTGTCCTGGGGTCAGACCCGCCTCACGGCTCCTTTCTCTGGTGAAGTCTAAGGGCCAGTCTCAGGAGGCTGGTGGCAGGCTTTGTTAGCAGGGTGACCAGAGCCCCCCGGAGGCTGGACCAGATTAGAGGGTCTCAGCCCGGCCGAGAAGACCCCTGTGCCCCCGCTGAGAGAAGCAGAAGCTAGAATGGGGTTCGGAGGAGCCATGGATTCCGGGTGTCCACCAGGGACCCACCTTCCTTCCAGACACTAGAATCCACGGCCTCCTGGGTCCAGAGGACCAGACGGTGGCTGACTGGACCAGGCCCGAGGCAGCAGTGGCCCCCGCCCGCCCCAGCGTTCCTGCTCAGGGAGAGCGGGCCTCCAGGGGGCACTGGTGTTCACAGCATCAGCTTCCTGAGCCAGGACCCCTCACAGCTCTGAACCCCATTTTATGGATCAGCGGTGGGATATGCCAGAGCCATCAGCAGATCAGAAGGGTCAGTCACCCAGGGACTTCAGCCCAACAGCCAGCTCGCTTTCCACCACCGCTGGCCTGGTCATCTCATGTGTGCATGTTCTATTGCTCAGTCATGTCCAACTCTGTGACCCCATGGACTGTAGCCCACCAGGCTCCTCTGTCCATGGGATTTTCCAAGCAGGAATACTGGACTAGGTTGCCATTTCCTCCTCCAGAGGGCCTTCCTGATGCAGGGATCGAACCTACGTCTCTTGCATCTTCTGTGTTGGCAGGTGGGTTCTTTACCACTGAGCCACCTGGTCATCACTAGATCTGAAACCACTGGTTCTCGGCCCTGGAGGCACATTGGAGTCACCTGGTTCCTTTCTAAACCTCCTGTCCCTGGTGCCAGGCTCTTATTACTTTTTACCCTGTTTACTTTTTTTAGGAAAAAAAAATCAGCACTATTCTCTAAGGGCATTCATTTTCAAACATTAAAGTTGTTTGAGATTGTGGTCACATCAGTCACTCAGTCATGTCCAACTCTTTGCGACCCATGGACTGCAGCACACCAGGCTTCCCTGTCCATCACCAACTCTTGGAGCTTACTCAAATTCATGTCCATCGAGTCAGTGATGCCATCCAGCCAGCTCATCCTCTGTCGTCCTCTTCTCCTCCTGCCTTCAATCTTTCCCAGCATCAGGGTCTTTTCCAATAAGTCAGTTCTTCGCATCAGGTGGCCATAGTGTTGGAGTTTCAGCTTCAGCCTCAGTCCTTCCAATGAATATTCAGGCCTGATCTCCTTGCTGTCCAAGGGACTCTCGAGAGTCTTCTCCAACACCACAGTTCAAAAGCATCAATTCTTCAGCACTCAGCTTTCTTTATAGTCCAGCTCTCACATCCATACATACATGACTACTAGAAAAACTATAGACTAGATGGACCTTTGTCGGGAAAGTGAGATTGCTCTCACCCGCAGCTAGTCCTCACACCAGGACAACAGCACTCGTGGCAGTTAGGTGGGGAGCCCCCAGACCCACGGCCTGCTGCCCGAGCCCCGGGCGCCTGGCCCTCAGGTGGCTGGAGATACCCTGAGGTGGGAGCTCTCAGGTACCCAGGCCTCTGGCCCCGCATCTTTTGTTCTTTCCCAGTTTTACTGACGAATTTTTAAAGCTCCTGCAGTGGTTGTCAGCCGCCGCCAGGGGGCGAGTCCCTGCTCTGGGCCGAGCCCTGGTCTCGGAGGCCTTTGTACCCCTAACAGGTAGGGACTTGCCAAGCGCCTGTTGCACTCCCGGGGGTAAACATCCACGTGCAGCCGCAGAGCCCGGCTATGCGGTGGCGGGTGTCCACGCAGCCCAGACCCCCTGGGAGTCACGTCGAGTCTGTTGCTCGCGGGAACCCGGGTTGGGGGCCCTGAGCCCTGCTCCCCTTCTTCTCCAGCGTCAGGATAACCAGGTTTCACTGGAACCCTCTCCCCTGCAGCCCAGACCTGGGCCTCTCGGGGATTAAATATTAATGGACGACCTGGACTGAGCCGGGGCCTCTCCTTAGGGCCAGCCAGGTTCGCCCCAACGGAAACACGACTGCTTATTCATCCTTCCGCCCGCCCCCTCCCTCCCTCCCTCTTCTCCCGGGAAACCAGAGCTTTGTTCTGGCGCTTGGGGGAGGCTGAGGCCGGTAACAGCGGTGCATATGTACATCCAGTGTTGAAATGTTCACCGTTTCCTGGCCTCCGAAGTGTTACTACCGAAGCCGGATTTTTCTCGAGGGCGGTGCCCTCAGCCATTCGGCGTTTGGGTTCTGCTTCTCCCGCCCTCCTTCCGAGTCTGGCTGGCGAGGTCTGTGCCGCCCAGGAGGAGCCCGCCGCGCTCTGAGGCCAGGTCGCTGGCGGGAGAGGCCGGCAGGCGGTTCCGCTTTCACGGAAGATCTGAATCTCTGGACCTTGGCTTCCTTACAAGCCAGTGGCTTATACCGCAGTGGGGCTGACTCCGGTCCAGAGACAGCTCCCCTACCTGCCCGCTCCGGGGATGGCCGTGCCAAGTGAGGCTCTGGGGGCACCCAGCTGGCCCCGCAAGGGACGCCCTCCCCAGGGGAGCGGGCGTGGCGGCCCTGAGCCTGGTTGCCCCAGAGGTCCTGCTGCCCGGGTGGTGTTTTCCGTCCGCCTTGCACCCTGGCTGGTGGCGGGCTCCTCCTGACTCCTGCTCCCCCGTTGGAGTCCTCACCCCCGCCCCCAGCCGTTCTCCAGAAGGACCCTCGCGACGCGAACCTGACCATGTGAAGCCTGGCTCCCCGGAGGCTTGGCGTGGACCCCGTCCTCCCGGCCTGGCCCCTCCCAGTGGGTTCTCAGCGGCAGCCTTTCCTGGCTGGGCGGTCACTGTCTTCTCCGTCGCCTCCCTTCCTTCGGCCCTCAGCGCGGAGGCCCCTCCCTGAATCCTTCACAGCCGCCCGCGGAGCCGTCTGGGTCGGTCTCCGAGACCAGCCTGGAAGGCAGCCCGTCGGTGGACGGTGCCACTGTCCCTCCATCTTCCGAGCCCGGGCCTGGCAGGTAGTGGGCGCTGCCCGCGGTTTGATGGTCTGCCCATGCAAACTCAGCCCGCCCTCAAGGGTGCGCGAGCGACACCGCGGTGAGCGTGTCCCCGGGAGGCTGGGTGTCTGCACAGGGCCGCGCTGGGTCTCCCTCTGTCGTCGGCTGTTGCTGGGTGCCCTGCTGGTTTCCCCACGCCCGGGCGGGCCTAAGAGGAGTCTTGCGTTTCCTCGCAAGAGTTGGTTTCACACGTACTTGTTTTGTTGTTTTGTTTTTTAAATATTTATCCGTCTATTTATTTGGCTGCACCAGGTCTTGGTTGTGACACTCGGCATCCTTAGTTGAGGCCTGTGGGATCTAGTTCCCTGACCTGGGATCAGACCTCGGGCCCCCTGCTTTGGGAGCATGGGGTCTTAGCCACTGGACCACCAGGGAAGTCCCACACATGTATTTGTTTAGGAGACGTTGGCCATGAAGTGGGAGCTGACTGAATGACCAGAGTCCTCTCACGGCACATAAATTGGTGAGGCCCACGTAAGGCCCGGCCAGCTTCTGGGAATGCACCTGCCCCAACGCGGCTCCACCCAGGCCCCGGTAGCCAACCCACGTGGGTCTCTGAGCCTCACCACCTCCGCCTTCTGCTTGGGGGTGGCTAGTTCTTATAAAGATGAGAGCAGCTGTAATTTCAGGTGTCAGTCATTTAAAAGGTTGTCAGATTTTTTTTTTAAAGATTTTTGAGTTAGGCTGCTTATCCACCATTTGTAGGAATTTCCATGAGATGGAAAGCAGGGGCAGGGCCGGGGGTTGTGGAAGCAGCATTTCCCTGAGACAGGTGTGACTGCGGAGGGGGTTTCAGCGCTGGCTCTGGGGGGGTATCACAGTCATGGACCCCCTCCACCCGGCATGCCCGGGTCCTCCAGACACATGCCCTCAACTTCTAGGGGCATAGTGGCGAGGGAAGCAAGAAAACCTAGGGCCCCGTGCTCACTGAGCCCAGGGGCTGCCCCAGGACTGCTCGTCCACCAGGGGCCTCCCCGCCTCAGACAGGGTTCCACCACGATCCCCCCTTCACAGACGGGGAGCCACCTGCTGCACCCCCGTCACCAATGCTAGAACCAGGATCTGAGCCCAGGTCAGCAGACTCGGGCTCCAGCCACGTGGGCCTGTTGAAGCTTAATAAACCACACTCAGCCCCTCTGTCAGGCCAGCCCCATGCATGGCCAGCGTCAGCTCAGAAATGGACCATGTCCATCGTCCCAGGAGGTTCAAGGGCAGCGCAGCTCTGGCCCGTCTGCCTTCCCCTGTGACCTGTTAGGAACATATGGGTGCTGTTACAGCAAATCAACGGCGGCGAGACTCCTGTCACCCGCTCTGCCTGCTTTCTTGATAGAAAAATAAGCCTTAGGTCTTCAGGAACATCGTGATTGCTTGCACAGGCATAATTACATGTTCCTAAGCTGAAGGCAGTTCAAGGGAAGGTGAAAAACCTCGGTAGCAACTGTACCGGGTTGTTCCTCTCCTGGAATGGTAGCTGCAGAGATGCTCCCAGTGAAACGCAGGGTCCTCATTTCTCTGGTGGTCCCAGGCCCTGGCGTGGCAGGGGCCTCGGCCCAGGACAAACCAGGTGGTGCCTGCATCCACCTCGTGTCTTTACAGGGCGGGAATGACCACGAGATCTTCACAGACCCCAGGACGGTGGGCTACACGGTGACGGCGCCCGAGGACACGCGCAGGATATGCGAGGAGCTCTTCTGCTGACCGGCCTGCTCCCCGTGGGAGGCAGTCCCCCCCAGCCCACCCTGCAGTCCTCACTACGGTCCCCGCTTGGCAGGGGAATGGCCCTCCGTTTCCAGGACCAGAGGAAAAGGCCTCTCAACAACGGTTCCAAGGACCACCTCCAGGAGAGAGTTACATCCCCACCCTAGTCTCCAACCACCCCCACTCTACCCCGATACGTGCAGTCACGGTGCCCCTGGGGGTTTTGTTTTTAAACTTCCCCCATCGTTCTAGAATGATCCAGAGAGAATGAAAGGAGTGAACCTGGACCGTCCCTCTTCATGGGCCTCATGGAAAATGTAACAGATGTTCATGCCGGGACCCCCTGCATCAGCACCGGAAGGGGAGCTCTTGTGATGAGAAAGAACATTTATGATGAACCGAGCCCAGAACAGACGGTTAAGACAATTCCAGAAACGAAGCCCATGAGTGTCTGCGCCAGCCCAGTGACCACTGACTACTGGGACTTCGCACGTCACTGGCGGAGGACTCGGGGTAGCTCCATATCCACTACACGCTGAAGTGCCCGCTGGCTCCGGGGACATGGGCGGTGGAACCAACAGCCCTGCCAAGAACTGGCACACAGGCCGCCCCGAGATGCTGCTCTGAGCCCCGGCCCCGCGAGTGCCGGGGCCATCACACTTCACCCGAAGGGCCTCCTCCTGAGGGATCAGGGAAGGGCCTAAGCTGCTAACAGATCTGGAGCCCGGTCTTTGGTCTTTGAATAATAAGCCCGCCCCACCTCCACACCCCCCACACCCCTGCCAGCGCTCCCTCACCCAGACTTTGACCCCGGGGCTGGAGCAGCTGTCAGGCCTGTAACCCTCACTCCCCTGCTCCCTCCTGCCTCCTGCAAGTTCCTGTGTGGCTGGAAGGACGGCAGCTCAGGCCCTCATCCAGAGCTCGGACGCAAGCTTTCCAAGAAAACGGTTCACGCATCACTTTTCAGCTTTGGTCCCTCCAGACCAGGGTGGGGTCAGTCCAGGCGGGACCTCTGCTGGGGACTCACAGACCTGAACCTGAATCTGGGGGTGGGGGAACTGGAGAGGGGTGTTCTGGCACCCCACTAGTTGGTCCCCACCAGGTGCCTTCATCACAGAGGAACCTGGTTCCCCCCGAGCCTCTCCCCAGCCTGGCTTGTCTTAGCTCGGAATCGGTGAGTGCAAGCAAGAAGCAGCACCAGGCTGGAGCTCGGCCCCCACCCGCCCGCCCACGGTCACATGCTAGGGTGACCGTCTCAGTGGTCCCCAGGACTCAGCAGTCCTGGGGCATCTTTCCTGGCTGGATTTTACAAATGATACTGTAATGATCTTTCAAAATGAAAAGTAGAAATTAAAGTGATTTTATTGGTTCCTGTTTCTCATTGCGATTACTGTTTTGTCCTCGGGTGGTTCAGTGAGCCAGTGCCTACTCAGATTCTAGGGGAAGAGCTCAGCCCTTTGGGACCCGAGAGTCGCTCTTTTCGACACAGCGGTTTCCACGATGTTGCGGGATTGTACCTGCAACTGGCGGAGACCTTTCCTCCACGCTTCTCTGTCCTCTGGGTTAGTATCCAGTGGTCCGTACAAGTCCCATAACTTCTTATGTCAAAACATAAAACAGTTGAGTCTTACCTTACTCAGACTGTCCCAACCCTTATGAGGTGGAGGGTGTGCTGTTTCTCCGCCCTGCTTGGAGCTCCCCTGGGCAGGTCCCCAAGGCCAGCCCCACCCCCACCCCGCAGTCCTGTTGTCCAAAAGACTTCGGACTTCCTGCCATCCTTCTCCGGCTTCTGTAGTCTTATCCCAGGTCAAGCCCAGCCCAAGCTCCCCCAGTCATGTCGTCCATCTCTTGTTTCTCTAGACATTCTCCCAGGTGGCTCAGACGGTAAAGAATCTGCCTGCAATGCAGGAGACCCGGGTTCGATCCCCGGGCCTGGAAGATCCCCTGGACAAGGGAATGGCTACTCATTCTAGTATTCTTGCTGGGAGAATCCCATGGACAGAGGAGCCTGGCGGGCTACAGTCCAAAGGATAGCAAAGAGTCAGATATGACAGCATGGATGATCAGATGGGATTATAGTCCCCACCGCACACATAACAACCAAACTGACTTCAGGGGAGCGCTTGGAAGAGTGGGAGCCATCACTCACTTCATCATCCCCAGAATGATGATGAGAAAACCCCGTTGAGACAGGACTGTGAACCCTGACAGGCGAGGGCAAGTCCCTCCCTGCCTTCGAGGTTCCAGGACGGTAGAGGCTGTCACAAGAAATGTAAATACAGTAGCTCAGTGTTGAGCAAGAGGGAAGCAGGGAGGTCATCCCAGGTCAGCCTGGGGCTGTTAAGAAAGCTTCCCGCCTCCCTCTTCCCCTTCCCCAGCACCCCCCCCCCGCCCCCTCCCCCAGCACTCTGGAAGCTGACCTGGGCTCAAAGGGCATAGGAAACCTCAGGGGGAGACCACGCCACCAGCTACTGGCCGCCAGGAAGGCCCTTATGAACCTCGGTGAGGAGCTTGAACTTGACCCCTAGGGAGGGATCTGCATGACTCCTGCAGGTCTGTCCAGCTCCCGGGCAAGGAGTGACTGGAGGCCTAGCCGAAGAACCAGTCGGGCAGACGTCTGGATTCTGGGTGCGACTGGGTGAGGTGAGGCGGCCTCGGTGGCCCAGAATCACTTCCTCTCCCAGGGCTTCTTTCCTCCCCAGGCAGGGCCCCCTCAGCCTCCACATCTGCCCGCCCTCCGCAGACGCCAACACCCCTTTCTGCAGCTCCTCCTGCCCGCTGCGTCCTGGCTTCCACCGAACCCTCCCTCATGCTAAATGCTGCCTTCAGCCTCCCCCTGAATGGGTTCGATGGGCTGGTTATAATTTTTCCTAACGTGCTCTGACCATCAGTATGCTCTTACGTTAAAGATGTTCACCTGCGCACCACCCCAAAGTCATCACCCACCTCCCCAGCCTCTCCTGCCCCCCTGCATTCCACCCCCACGCCCTTGGAAACCCCAAACCTGGGCCGCCTCCCCTGTCTGCATCAACAGGGCACTTCATAGCAGGCCAACCAAGTGGCATTTTCTGTCATCACAAAGCCGCATCCCTTTGCTCAGCTCACCTACATGTGAGGGTGCTGATTAAGAAACAGGGCATGGATGATCCCATTTTCTTACTCATCCCCCCAGAAAAAGACTGAATGACTGTATCAGCCTCCTTTGGGGAGATGTGCCCCCCCATCCCCGCCGCCCCCCCACCTGCTGGCTTCAAGGAAGAACTCCCTGCAGCCAGATTCCACCTTAACTCAGAACGCCAGACTCTCCTCCAGCAAAACAGTTTATTGAGAAAAGTGCTGGTGAGAGGGAAGACCTGGAGTCAGGAGTCCGGTTCTGTCCCCAGCTCAGTCGCCAACACCATCCGTCCTCCCAGAGCCTCTGGGATAACTCAAAAGATTGTGCTTTGAGTGGGGAGAGGTCCCTTCCAGCCCTCACGACACAAAGATGTAATCACCCAGGAAGAATGGAGCGTTTACAAAGGAGTCTCCCCCAGCGAGAGGACCCACAGGTCACCCACCTGGAGGAGCAGATCTGACTTCCAGCCCACTAGCAAGCTGGTGGGGTCACGTGGAGCCCCAACTATGTACCAGGGTGAGGACAAGGCAGTGGGGTCACCTGGGGAAGCGGGTGGCAAAGACGCAGACTCTCAACCTCAAGGATGGGTCTTGAGGGACATGACTTCACTCAAAGTGTGGTCCATACCCAACAGACAGGGGTCTCCGGGGACCACCTGGGGACGGTCCAAGGCTGCAGGGGAGACAGCCACTGCAGACCAGCAGAAGGCAGAGTGGGCAGGACCCTTCAACAGGGCACGACAGGCTGGGAAAAAAGATCAACTTCCTTAACTGTGACGTTTCACCACACACTTGTAACCAATACTTATTCGCCTACTTAAAAACAACTCCGGTGGCCATTTCATGATGTATGGAAATACCAAATCGCTGTGTTGTGCACAAGGAACTAACATTGTGTTGTAGATTAGTTATACCTGGAAAAAAACACACACAACCCCATTGGTCCTCAGCAAAATAGCTCTGGCCTCTGACCCCCTTGCAGAAATTCAGATTTTAAGACACTGGATGAGGCCCCACCATCTTTCAAGGGCTCACCTCCCTGCGTTGCCAAATAGACCCTTGACTACAGATTTCATGGGTGTGGCCACATATCTCAAGACCTGTGAAATATGTTTTCCCCATATTTCTCAGCTATTTCTATTTTTAAATTACAGCTAAAGCCGAACCAAGCCACACCAAAGGAAAGCCTTAAGGATCTATTTACTGGAAATATCCACAAAGGTCTGCAATGTCAACAGCAAAGTGCAAACATAACTGGCTCCGGTGAGAGCTTAAATTCTTTAAAAAAAGAACAATCCTAAGCGGTTCACACCAGTTTTCCAGAAAACTCCACCAAAAGCATATTTCTCCTTCAACTTGTGACTTCGCCAGGCTCCCAGGAAGCAAACCACCTGCTCTTTTCTAGACGGATTCCCCAGACAGGTCCGTTTGGAAACAAAGACCCTCCCCCTCTCCACACTCCCCACCCCTCCCCACCACCTCCCGGATGGGTGGCTGAGCCAGAATCCTCAACCAAAGACAGACAGACAGGACCAGGCTTCAAAGAGAAGGAGGACTCGCCTCTGAGCACACGGCTGCCACATGCAGGACTCAGGCCTGCCAGACGTCCAGCTGCTTCACCTCCTGTTGCAGAGACCCCAAGACCCCCGCCCTCCCCGCCCCCAGCCCCTTGGAACAACCAGCTGAGAACCGGAACAGTCTGCTCTGCCCAGGGCCAAGGAGAGACTCACGAATGGGGGCGGGGGTGGTGCGCGCGCTTGGGTGGGAATTCCTCCTGGGAAATCACGCAGGGTCCATGTCGCTACCCAGAGGACCCATCTGGGGATTCTCAGCCTTCAATTCCGGGGCGGGGGCGGGGGCGTGGGAGGGACAGCGGGCCAGGGAAGCCGCCCGACCCAGCCCCTGGGTGGGGCTCAGACTCTCCACTCAGCCACCAGGGAGCGCCTCTCCTTTTTCAATGCTTTTAATGTTTTTCAGATGGTGAGATGTTGGTTGCGGTGGTCGGAGGCTGTGCTGGTGGCCGAGGGCACCCCCGTGCCTGCCCCCATCTCCAGCCCCTTCCTCCAGGAGACTCTTAACAGGGACCACGCTCCCCCCCCTTTCGGATGCCCCATCTCAAGCGGCACAGTTGTCCTCTCCCGTCTGGTCCTGCCTCCTCCTGCCCCGGGGGTCTCCCCAGAGCCCGGGGGGTGGGGGGGGGTGGGGGCAGGGTGCCTCCGGCCGCTCCTAGGAACTGACGACGTGGCCGGACCAGGTCTCGTGTTTGGTGCCCGGCGCCAGGTGGGTGATGACCACCTCCACGGCCTGCAGCTTCTCGTTCTTGGGCGGGATGGAGCACATCTTATAGGTGACTTCGTCGCCTTCCATGGGGACGTACTCCCCCTCCACGCTGCGGGGCGAGGAGAGACATTCAGGGATGACGTTGGGAGAAGCCAGACTCCGGCCCTGGGGCAGGAGCTGACCCTCCCCCCCTCCCACTAGGCGGAGCCACCGGAGCCCTCGGTCTGACTGAGGGTCCCCTGACCCAATCAGCTCCTTTCCCGGGACCTCGGCTGCGGAAACAGAGATGGAGCCCCGCCCCCAGGGATGCTCTCAGGGCAGTTACAAGTGGGCACCTTGGGGCTTATGAATAGAAGAGCCAGGAGAGAAAGTCTTGAGCCTGAGAATCATGACCCCGCGGGGGTTTCCTGAGCAGCAGCCCAACCCCCCGCCCGGTCCAGGAGTCCTGGAAACCAGGCTGCACCTGGTTTCTGATTTCTGTTCAGCGCCTTAGAATCCCACAGAGCTTTCCAGAAAGTCCTTTTCTCTCTCTTTCTACAGGACATGAGTCACCATCTCATCCGGGATGAGGAGGTCCCCATCTTGATGCCGCCTTGGCTTTACCCAACACCCCCACCCCAGGGGAAATATCCCCTTCGGATCCTTCAGGCCAAGTCCAGCCAGCTCTCCCCTGGGACTATATGGCCTTGACTAAAGAATCACATTGCAAATCTCCCTGCCCTCTTTGCGGTGACCACCAGGAAGCTCAGGAGTAAAAGTGAGACATTGCTTTAGCACCGTCCTCATGTCTACACTGTACAGCGGGTCTGTGAAGACCAGGCGTGTAGGGATGTTGGAGGAGAGTAAGAAAGCATAACTCTCCTATCTCAACAGACATTTGCAAAAGGAGCCTAATTTCAAAACATGGTTTCTACATATTGTCAGGCCTGCTATGTGGGGTACCTTACCTGCCACCAACAAAAAGACTGGGGGTTGCTGAGGTCAAAGATGGGGATGGGGTAGGGGGGCCAATCAGGTCCCCACAAATCTGCAAGCTGCTTCAAAGACCAGAGGTGGTGCCCAGCATGCAGGGTGCCCTCCAGCCCGAAGGCCGAGGATGTGTGGGCCCCACCCTGGGCGCCCCCTCCCTCCTCTCCCCGCCAGGGTTTCCAGACACTCAGGAAGGAAGGAAGTCAGTGAGCAAGTGGCAGGAGAGAGGGTCCAGCCCCACACTTCCTTCCTGGAGCAGAGTTCAGTCAGCCCCCAGCCTCACCAGGGCAGGGTCCCTGGGGGAGTGCAGGCACCCACCCCCAGGCCAAACACAGGCTCACAGGACTCACAGGGACACCCATGCCTGCCCACCAGACACACGCGGGCACTCAGACCCACCCCAAAGTGAAAGTGAAAGCCGCTCAGTTGTGTCCGACTCTTTGCGACCCCATGGACTATAGTCCATGGAACTCTCCAGGCCAGAATACTGGAGTGGGTAGCCTTTCCCTTCTCCAGAGGATCTTCCCAACCCAGGGGTCAAACCCAGGTCTCCCGCACTGCAGGCAGATTCTTTACCAGCTGAACTATCAGGGAAGCCCAAAGAAGGTTCTCAACTCACATGCACACACACACAGACACACACACAGAGACACACACACAGAGACACACACAGACGCACACACAGACATATGCACACGGAGACACACAGAGACACACACACACACACAGACATATGCAGAGACACACACAAGTGCATACACACACACACATGTGCGCAGACATATGCACACACAGAGACACACACGTGTGCACACCCACACACACACACAGTCGCCTGCAGTGTCTCACACACTGCCACCACCACGTACAGGCTCACACCCCCAGCCCTGAACACTGTCACACAAGCCTGGCCCACACAACCTCATCACACTTGGCACCCACCCAGCAGAGTTCACACACTCCCCCTGCCTCCTCCAGGCCACAGCGCCCACCCAAGCCCCAGAGCACCCCCATCAACCGCTGACTCACTCGGAGATATGCAGGAAGATGTCAGGGCCGCCGTCAGCCGGGGTGATGAAGCCGTGGCCCTTGGACCGACAGAAGCATTTGCAGACTCCTTTGTAGACTGGGCCCTGGGAAGCCCGCACCGTCCTGACAGAAGGCAGGGAGAGCATGAGGGGCCCCCACCAGCCCTCTAGGACAGCCCCCTGCTCTCAGGGGCACACCCAGCTCTTCCCAGTTCCCACCCACAGCTGTGCCTCAGGGCATTCTGGGCAGGGCCACCATGTACAGTTGTACAGGTTATGCACTGCACAACTCCCACAACTCTGGGAGCCATTCGCTGAGAACCTGGTGACTGACTCTGCATGACGCTGGCAAACTTTTTCAGGCCTCAGTTTCCCCGTGTGAGTAAAATCCCCCTGAGCATCCCTCCCTCTGAAGGCTAACTTAGCAGCAGCCTCCACATGTTGGCCTGAGCTCTACACCTGCCAGACACCGTGTGGGTCCCCTGCAGTACAGTGGCCACGCTGCTACTGTCCCCGTTTTGCAGCTGATGAGGTCAAGGGCTACCGGGTAAAAGGGGCTTGTGTGTGGTTAAAGCCCGATGATCTAAGACCCCAGCGATTTCCCATCCCTGGCTGCCCTCATCCCTCAGCCGCAGCTCACGACAGGCTCAAGAGGGGCCTGGGGGTGGCGCGGTGCAGGGTTTATGAGGCACCTGCCCAGCTTCCCACCATCAGCCCTTTCCCAATCCCCAAGTTTCCCATGCGATAGACAGGGACGCGGAGGCGACCTGTCTGGAGAAGCCCGAGACTCACGCTGAGAAGGTCCTGGTGCGGCGGGTGGGCAGTGGGCTCGGCACCGCGTTGCCCCGTAGCGGGGACGGTGAGCGATCCCGGGCCTGTTGCGTGTCCAGCAGCCCGGCCGAGGACTGATGGGTGGGGCGCTGGGATGGAGGAGGAGGCTCAGATGACATGGCTGACCTGGAGAGAGACGGGGGCCTCTCAGGGGCTCACGCCTCCTAGGGGGGCTCTCCAGATGCCTCCCTACGCTTACGCCGGACAGTCTGCCATCTGAGACTCGAATACTCCTCTGGCTGCGGAATGCAGGCTCCAGGCTCACTCAGCATGGAAGTCACCTGCTCCAGAAATGCGCCGGCTCATCCCAGTCAGGGCAGGTGCCTGGTCTGCGCTCCTGTTGCAGCCATGCACCTCCCTCTGTGACAGCTCCGCACAGAAGTGCCGCGAGGACACCACTGGCCCCCTCTTTGTCCCCAGGACCCACAGCACAGGCTCTGGCACACTCGGCGTGCATGCGAGCTAAGCTGCTTCAGTCATGTCCGACTCTTTGCAACCCTATGGACTGTAGCCCACCAGGCTCCTCTGTCCATGGGATTCCCCAGCAAGAATACTAGAGTGGGTAGCTATTCCCTTCTCCAGGGGATCTTCCCGACCCAGGGAATGAACCCAAGACTCTTACATCACCTGCATAGGCAGGCGGGTTCTTTACCACTAGCGCCAGCCGGGAAGCCCTGGCACACTCAGGCACTTGGTAAATTCTTATGAAAGAGAGAGAGGGAGAGAGAGAAAAAGGAAGGAGAGAGGGAAGGAGGCAGACAGGACAGGCAGGATCAGTGCCAGCTGCCTGGATGAGGACTCCAGCCATTCATCAAACCTTTCCCGACTCCTGTTACGTGCCGGGCACTATGGGGAAAGGGAAGCAAAAAAGGGACCCACACTCGGTGCTCCTTCAGGAAAGTCTGGGACACAAATCAAAAAGGGCTCAGACCCCAAGTCAAGTCTGCATCCAGGAGGAAACCCGGGGCACAGGGGGAGTGGGCAGGAGCATTTCAAAGGCAGCATCTTCAGCCACCAGGCCCCTGACTCAGATCCAGGCCTTGAAGTTCATTTCCACCCAGCCCAAGTCTCTGATTGCTGCTGAGAAATGGAATTCCCTCTGTAACCCCTAACACACATCAGAGGCCAGGGGCAGACCCAGCTGGAGAGAGAGGACTCTAGAGCAGCACGTGGCCGCTGTACCCAACTTGCTGGTGGCCTTGGCTCAAGGCCATGAAGAAAGAGCCAAAGACCAGAAGCCAAAGGGCCGTGGCTGAGTCCTTTCCACTGTCTGGGATCAGCTGCGCACTGGTGCAGCTGGGTGGGCGTCACACAGCACCTGCTCAGGGTTGGTGTTGGGGGTGCGGGGCCCCCGGCCCCAGGAAGGAGAGGAGCCTGACTCAGATGTCAGCCCCCCTTCATTCCCAGGATGTCACCCCCCACCCATTCACAGGGCGTGGTAGGGCAGGAGCAGCTCCACTGGGTTCTGCGAGGTTCACACGAGGTTTTCACATTTAAAACACAGGCTATCTTTTAAACATCCCAGAGCTTTGCCCCCACAAGCAAGGTTTCCAGCTAGGTTTGAGAAAACTAGCAGTTCCGGCAACCAGAGCCTCCAGTCCCCCTCCCCACCACCCCCAACCCCCGCCACCGCCCTGGCTTTCCTGATCTGTAGGCATTTATGCGGCCCAGGGCACCAGCTTTCAACCTGCATCGCCCAGCAGCACCCCTCTGCCCCAACCCAAAACGCCTGAGAGCCAGGCCTGATTCCTCGGGGGTCAGGCCCACCTCTGCCCCCCAAGAGGACCAACCAGCTCCCTCCACGTGGCCCCGCAGCCTCCTACACACTCCCCTTTCAGGACTCAGCTCCATCTGGCTGGGAGGGGAGGCAGCCAGCTGGCTCCCTGGAGGAAGTGACATAGTACCTCCTGACCCTTCTCTCAGCTGCGGCCGCGGCCAGGGAGGACCGCGAGTCCCGGGAGCCCCCACCTCGGACAGGCCCCGGCAGCTTAGGGTCAAGGCTCCGGCATGACCCACCAACACAGGTCATAGAGTCCTAGAATGTTCCAACGCCTGGGGTTCTGGGAAGGGGGGCCAGTCCAGAAAAAGGGAGGGCCCCACACCCAGGACAGCAGGTGCGAACCACTGGGGCCTGAGGACACCAGAGTGAGGCGGGGAACAGCCCTCCCCAACCCCACCCAAAGTCTCCCTCTTTCCCCTGCTGTCAGGCACCTCTGACTTTAAACCCCACCCTTCCAGCTGTGTGATCTTGGGCAAGTTACTTGACCTCTCTGGACCTTGGTTTCTGTATCTGGAACCTGGAGATTTTTTTTAAAAGTCGTGACCTCACACCAGCATCAGTAAGTTGAAATGACATAATACATGTTTTAAGCATTCTGCACACCCTCTGCCCAGAACAAGTGAGCATTTAAGGATCAGCTACAATTGTTATAACCGTCATCATAAAGTCATTCAACAAACACGCGCCTGATGGCAGGACCTGTTTATGGCAGTAGAGACAGAAGACAGCAAGACTTCCCTGGTGGTCCAGTGGTTAAGAATCCACCTGCCAGGGCAGGGGACACCAGTTTGATCCCTGGTCCAGGGAGACTCCACATGCTGTGGGGCACCTAAGCCCATGAGCCACAGCTACTGAGTCCAGGCTCTGCAACAAGAAGTCCATGCGCTACAAAACTCATAAACAAACAAACAAACAAGAGTGGGCCATCAGAGGGCGGCCTTCCAGTGTGATAAACAGCCTGTGCAAAGGCCCTGAGGTTGGCAGAGGCAGGTGTGACTAAAGGCCAGCAAGGAGACTGGGGGTTGGGGGGGTCACTGGGGAAGGAGTGGTGAGAGGCAGGAGATGGGTGGGTGGAAGGGCAGTCCAGCTCAGGAACTAGGGCATCATCATCGTCCCCACAGGTCTCCACTCTTCTTGCCCATGTCCATCTGTCTGACTGTCCCCCCGGCCCCTGCCATGCCCACCTCCCCCTAAAGCAGGTCTCAACTGGGGTCCCCTTCTCTCTCCTCCCCAGCCCCTTTGACTCTCCCAGGACACCCAGTCCCGCAGAGATGCCAATAGAAGCCGCCAGCTTGGGGACAGAGCAACCTGAGGGCAACACGGGGTCCCTCCAAGTCCTGGGCCCCAGTACTGGGGCTGGGACAGAGCAGGGTCCCCCTGACCAGCCTCAGAACCGGCAGCCCCCACTGGCGTTCACGTGGTGGGGCTGCGCGCATGCGCACTTGGCAGTGGGAGAAACTGAGGCACGGAGGGCCGCAGAGCCTCCAGGAGGGAGTCGGGGAAGGGAGCTGCCGGCCTGGGAGACGCAGGGGCTTCAACCACCACCCTGCCTGCCTCCAGAGGGCCATCCATGCGAAGCACAGCTGAGGCGGGAGCTCCTGGACGGGAGCCAGCTACCCCCCACCCCTGGCCTGCGGGGGTGGGGGGCGGGGACAGGGAGGAGTGAAGGGCCTCAGTGTGGGGAGGCATGGGTTAAAGTCCAGCGATAAGGAAACCAGCTGGCAGAGGGAGGAGCCAGTCACCTAGGAGCCAGCTCTGGGGTCGGCTGCTGCCCCCAACCCCCAAACAAACACAGATGGGGGGGTTGAGTGTGCAGCAACGCCAGGGGGAAGCTGGCCCTGGAGGAAGCAGGGCCCACCCTACTAGCCCCTGCTCCAGGGCCTCTCACCTCCCTACAGCTTCATCCAGTCCTTACAGCGGCCGGCAGTCTGCAGAGGGTTGCCTCAGGCTGAGGCTCTAGGCCAGACCAGAGATGGGCCTCAGGCCTGCAGCAAATTCAGACCAGGTGTCCTGCCCAAGGCCTGTCACAGCTGCTGAGCGTGTCTGCATGAGTGCATGCACATGTGTCTATGTGCGTGGCTGTGAATGTGGTGTGTATGTGTGCACATGCATGAGAGTGAACCAGGCACACAAGTGTGTGCCTACACATGAACACCAATGGACTGGGCAGGGAGGGGTGGAGGAAGCCACCCCGCCCCCGGCACCAGCAAGGCCTTTACCCTGGGAAAGGGCAAGAAGGGGGCCTCAGCCCAAAATAGCCTGGGAATTTCCCACAGGCCCTATGGGTCCTCCAGGAAGGTTCACAGAGCTCAGCTGGGCACCAGGCTCTGGTCTTCCCAGCCCCTCTTCCACCAACCCACACATCCAGGGACTGGAGACCCACCCAGTCCTGCGGAGCCCCTGCCTTCCTGCCCTCAAGCCCCACCAGTCACATCGCGGGCAAGTCTGAAGCGTCCCTGGTGGCTCAGTGGATAAGAGTCTGCCTGCCAATGCGGGAGACACAGGTTCAATCCCTGGTCCAGATGAGCAACTAAGCCCATGCACCAAAACTACTGAGCCAGTGCTCTAAAGCCCGGGAGCCACAGCCGCTGAAGCCCCAGTCCCCTAAAGCGTGTGCTCCACAACAAGAGAAGCTAAGCGACAATGAGAATTCCTTGCGCCACAACCAGAGTAGCCCCCTCTCACCTCAATGAGAAAAGCCCACGCAGCAACAGACACAGCACAGCCAAAATAAATAAATAAGGACAAGTCTGTCTGAAGCCACGTAACCAGTTGCTGACTCCAGGAAGGGATCCTTGGCAGTGCTTTCGGTCATTTACACTTTAGTGAGACGTTTGCAGTTCATTTCACAAGGCTCCTCCATTCTTGGTAGCTTTCAGGCCCTTGAGGGCAGGAAGATAGGGGTGGGAGAAAGAACTGAGCTTCTTTCTCAGCCTGGCAGCAAAGCCAGATCTCATTAAGCCTACTCTGAAAAATGGGGTGTGGAGCCTTCCCTGGGTTTCTGGATGGGGGAGGCCAGGGCAGGGTACCGTGTTCAGATACCTCCTAGCCAGGGGGCCAGGACCCTGCTGGCAGGTGAGAATGAGTTCCAGGCCACACGATGGGAACAGGACAGAACACTCTCCTAAGACAGGTATGGGGTCCCACATTCTGCATTTCTAAGGCGCTCCCCCCAGCAAGGCAAGACTGATACCGAGTAGTACTGGTTATAGCGTTACTGGCCCGGCCCACCTCTTAGCCAGCATAAGGGGGCCACCAAATGAGCCACAAAGTCACCCTAGTCCACCCAGGCGCCTCACCTGCAAACTGAGGCAGAGACGCGCCCTTCCCCTCTCCACC